TCACCTTGCTGGAGGCCACACATGGATCTGGGTGGAGGAATTTTGTCAACTCATAGACTGACAAAAACACCATAGGCTCTCAGGGTACTCAAATATGCCATCTTTGTCTTGGAGTCCCTGAGTGCACCTCATCAATCCATATTTAAAGCTGTTTGGACTTTGTGTAAGAATTAGACATTATACAGGTTTGTTACACTTAAACTGAAATATCTGAATCAGTTTTTTCTTGTCAGGTTCGGGACTGTGACTTACAAATATTAAAAACCTTAAAATTATTGTCTTGGAAGACAAAAATATTACTTAATTGTAGGGGTGCAAGTTATTCGTTATAAACTGTATGTTTTTACAGTTTGCTGAGTTTCAAAAATAGTATGAATTATTGTGTTGGTGTCTTAAATACTGACTGAAACAAAACAAAAAATCATATGCATTTCTAAATGTTTCTATAAAATAACACAGTGATCTATTAATAGGTTACTGAATGATGAACAAGACGAATAAAATTTGTGAAATACTTAGAGTTTCCAATGAACAGAGACGTAAAACTATCTTTTAGAGACAAGATATGTCGCTCTGACGTACTGTAAGACTATTTACCACTTTGTTTGAATTAGGTGGATGGTAAATGTGATATAGCTCTCTGTTTTTAGAGTGAACCAACAATCTGGTGGGAGGGACTTTGTTATCAGCAGTTTCAAACAGATGGTTCTGGTAGCGCTCAGAAGAGTATTACAACACACAAAAACCTTTCCCATTTACTGTGCTTGTTGCTAGGATGTATTTTTCTATCATCTTACTTGTTTGTGTGTTATTCCCTCAACTATTGAGCATCAAAACCTCATCTACCGAGCATCTACCTAACTTTAGGAGTTTGCCTACTCTTTATATTTATAGAAACAATTTTTAAAACCACCTTAGTTGACCATAAAAACTCTTTTTGCAAAACTAAGTAAATTGCTTTAACAATTGTGATGTTTCCATCGAGCACAGCGCCTTTCCTGCCTCACCCTTCATCTGACTGTGTCTCCTACTGAATGTGAAAGGCGATTTAAGAGCTCAGGAAATGCATGTGTTTTAAGGTAATTAACTAATTAGCTATTATATGACACAACAAATTTCCAATATTTACCATTTCTCAAATATTTTATTTTTCAAACAATTTTAAAAAATAGTTTTTTTTAGTTATCTTTAAGCAGTAATCGTCAAAATCCCAGAAATAAAAGCTTGAAATATTTCACTCTTTTCACCAATATTTCACCTTTCACTATTTAATAAAGAATGATAAAAGATGCTGAAATTTTACATGATATTCTACTTTTTGGGTTTGAACTGATATGTTTTTTTTATATATGTTCTATTTTTTAGTCTTACACTTTGTGGTATGTCTGTATATTTCATTTTTTTCTATTGTCTATGTCCAAAGTATGTCCATGTCTGTATTTTAAAGTATGTCTAGGTCTGCATAGGAAAGTAAGAAACGTAATTTCAATTACTTGTATGACCATTGCAAAAATTGACAATAAAGCCGACTTGACTTGATAACACCTTTTAAATCTTTGGATAAATATAAGGAATTTAGCATGTTTATTTCTGCACCGAAATTAATATTTTTATGATTAATTAGAATATATTTAAAACTGGAATTAATCTAAAATGACTAGAATGTGATTTATTCGAATCCTCTGGGCATTTAATTACTACTGAAGTATTTTAATGCAGCAGAATTGTGGCTTAAAACCGCTTCTTTTTCCCGTTTTCAGTTGATTTAAAGACAGGGAAAGAAATGTTATATTCAAGTCTAGTTTAGAATTGATTCAGAATAGTTCTCTTCATGCAGATAGATCTAAAATAGATAGAGGGACACACATTTCTACACACCACAGTCATCCACTGATTAGTTTATAACTGATATTTATTCAAATGGCAGCTCTAAATAATAATAGATGCTTCTCCTTTAATATGACCATCTTCCTCTGTCAGAAACACAGCAGGAACATGGAGAACCTGTGGAAACTATTGGCAGCCGAGTTGGTGAGCTATCACTACTATTTAAAGGATAGTTTATTGATGTATTTTTATAGTTGTAGGTGCTGCCCAGTCAAATAATAGGCCACATGTTTTCGTAACTTCGAAACAGTAGTGTTTTTGACAGCCATCTAGATTAATTCTTAGTCTTAGTCTTCAGGACGAAAAGTATTATTAGTCTAGTCAGTTTTAGTCGACTGAAGGTTTTAGTCTAGTTTTAGTCAGTTTTATGTTGCAAAATAATCCCTTTACAATTTCAAATAACAACCAGATTCTTTACCAGACAGACCTGGCCTTGCCTAGTTACTACAACTGCTGGTCACAGAATGATGCCATGCAATAAATAAAAACTGCTGTTGGGCAGAAAACTTGATTTATAGAATTCAAATAAACTTTTTCATAAATTAATGACCAACTTTATAAAAAAGTGTCTCACACTTTCAACTTTTTGTTCAACTAGTTTTATTGGTTGTTTTAGATACCTAGTGTGGCCAGTTACTGGTTTGCATATAAGAAAATAATGGCTCATTTTACCTACAATTTTAAAACATACAACATTTCTGTACTTATTTCAAGTGGTAGTTATTGCCTGGTTGTAAGGCCAAAGGCTTTACAAATAAGGTAAGGCAGAGGATTGTAATTATTTGCTATCAATTCCCAATTGCTGCCCCAACTTGTAGTCTTAAAATCCCTCATATGACTAAATGTTATGGTCTATAGTCAAACGTTGCAGAATTACCAATTACTGACCTTACAAGCCAAGAAAAACAAGCTAACAGTTCATTTCAGGCAATGGCCCAACTACCGGCCAATCTAACTTTGCCAATCTGGACACATTTTAGTTTACAATGTTTACATTATGCTGTACAACCTTTGTAAAATTAGTTTAAGGGGGGTAACTTTGCATGGTTTTAGGGTAAAACCATTTAAAAACCTATAAGACCTTTATTTTAGTTTAAACACAATTTACAGAGCCAGCATATGTCGCCTGGCCAACTGCTAGCCTTAGAAATTTGGTTGGACAAAATACTTCTTTCATAGAGTATGCAGTATTACTCTTTCTCCTTGGTTGGTTTTGAGGTCCAGCTGCTGATCTAGCAAGCATCAGAAACCAAGAAAAACAAAATATAAGGTCTCCTTTCAGCACTGTTACTGGCCACCTAGTGACTGAACTTCAAGAGCACAAAACCTGAGTTTAGTTTTAAATCTTTTGACTAATCTTTAGACATCCTAAATTTGTAATTTTAGTTCAGTTAGCCGTGTATGGCTGTTTAAGGCACAGCTACTGACCCAGCTTCTCACCAAACCAATGATTTTCTAAACCTCGAATAACTACAGGTACATGTGAGAAAAACTTTAGTTCAGACGTTTTAGACATCATTAATTTCTGTTGGTTTTAAGGTCTAATTACTGGCATTCACACCTTGATGGTTATGTTGGATTCGCTAAGCAAAGTCTATCTCTTTCAGCTGGGCATACACTATACGATATTTCAATCCTTGTACTCGGCTACAGCTCAAACTCTAAGATGGTTTAAAAGTTCACAGTATGTATGTTCCTACTCTGAACGGCCAGATGCTCTGATGCTATCTAACTGCTCATACTGTACGTCCAAAATCCACATGTCGGACTCACAGCCGAGAGATGGCGCTGGTTGGACTCGTCAATCTGATAGAAGAAGAACTGCCTAATTTGCACATGCGCAGTGCATGAGGTTCTGGTAAATCAGCTCTTAGACACTCGTAGCTATGCTTCAACAGCAGTATTTGCCCACAAACGCCTCATGAGGGCTGACTGAATTTCCAACATGTTTGATTTTCTGCCGACCTTACGATTTCTGATCGGGAGGTGGTCGTGAGAGGCTAATCGGCCCTCGTTATTCCCTGTAAACTACACGACGCAGGATACACTTTGAGGCCTGATCCATAAAAAAAAGTCTTGCACAGCTGCCGAATAATCCAGACAAAAACTTGTACAGTGTATGACTTCTTTAATGATTGCCTTTAAATAATTGTATGCTTTGATTGCTCTGGTTAAATTACAATTGGATCGTCCAGGAATTGCTTTAGACGCACCAGAACTTTTTCTTGCCCCCTGACACTGTCAGTATCCTTTTAGTTACAGCAGTTTAAATGCTATTAACCATATAACTGTATACATCGTTAATTTATCTGAATAAAAAGATTAGTGGAAGTTATTTGGGGTGTAATGTAAACCTTTGCCTCTTGCAATTCAATGTGGAACGGATTTAATGCTCTATTTGTAGTTTCTCCCATGGGCTATTTTACAGTCGGATGAATAGGTAAAGGCATGATTGCCATGTAGTATATTATGTAGGTGCACAAATTAAACACAGACACCATCTGTGTGCTGAGCATCTCCACTAAATTCCTACAATTGAAAAAGAGGTGAAACTTGTTCTGTATTGTCTGCATTGGCCCTAATCCACACATCCTAACCCTCCTGCTTTTTGCTGGTGCTTCTGCTGCTGCCCTCCGACCCAAATGATGAGAGATTAAGCTCTGCGCAACTGTCCATCTGACACAAGGGCTGGATTTGCGCTGGATTGGGAAAAAAATCTGGACGGGCGGCTTCTAAAGCTCTGTAATTCTGAACAAACATGCTCTCAGAGGAAAGCAGATTAAAAAGCAGGAGCAGTGAGTAAGTGTGCAGGTTTTGGGGCGTTTGGTTGCGCCATAAAGTTCTGGTCCAGTTTCTCTGAGCTGTTTTTGTGTCACTTGCCATTACCAATAACAAGGGCGATGGCTTTGTGGATTCGGAATGCCCCCCCAGGCTAAAGTTCTGATTCAGACTGCCCCATCATCCCCAGACATGCCCCTGCAATGCCCATGTGCCTCACCGGGCATGTCCCCATTTTTTTTTGATGCATCTAACGGAAATGGAAAGGGTGGGGGTGGGCATAAAGGACGGTGGGTGATGGTCACCCAAACTACCCCTCTGTCATCATGCAGTCTATTTACAAAACATCAGTGCAAAGGGTCGCAACAGAAACCTCGCTCGACGACGATACGAGTCGGTTTCATCGTATAAATTCAAGAGGCGTCACATGTAGATTGGGTTGCTCACGTGACTCCGGTTTGATGGGCCAATAGCGTGGCAGAGTTTTTTATTTTTTTTTCTGATCAGAGCTAAAGGAAAAGAGGTGGGTGGGAGGAGGGGGGAGAAATCATTTTCCCTTTGCGATTTTTTAATCCTCCAACGGCGAAAGCGGTCGTCAGCTACTGTATCCTGCCCTGCAAAAAGGTAAAGTCTACTTTGTCGTTCTAATTACGGCTTCTGGTTATTTTTTCATAAGAGGTGACGCTTTATTCGGCAAAACCCACACCTTCATGCATTTCAAATTTAAATTTCTTAGATATTTTTAGTCCTTCCTTGGTTGTTTGTGTCACAGGGGTTCAAACTCTCGAAAAAGTGGAATTTCAAAGTTCCTTTTCAAGTTGTGGAATGCCATCAATAATTAATCAACTTGGTAGTCAACGCAACGGGACCGACTTTGTTTTTAAAAAAAATTATCATTTTAAATGCTTTCTTTGGCAAAACCCCAACAGGATGACTTCATGCTGGGTGGGAATCTTGTGGTTTTCGTACAAAGAACAGCCAGTTTTCCAGCCAGCTGATTTTGCTCCCAGACGTCCACTGATTATTGATGTTGAACTGATTGTCTTTGCTTTCAGGCATAAGCGATTTCATTGTTTGGGAATTAGCTGCATCAACTGTTGACACAATAGAAGAGGTCGTTATTACGAGTATCTTCATGCGGATATAAGCGTGGCAGCTGTTGGGTGGTCATACAACAAAAAAAAAATGTCCTTCCTCATTTCGCTTGACCCTAATTTTAATTGTAGGTTTATTTGGATAATAAGCTAAGATGTAATCATGTGGTGACGAAGCTGAAATGCGCAAAAAAGAAGGATCAAAGGGAAGAAAATAGGAACGTTTTCAACTCGTTCCGCATCAGCGCCGGGGGGAAGCTCGGCGTATGGAAGCCATGACTTTGTGACAACCAGTGATCTCACATTACAAACTGTGGCAAATCTAAAATGGCCGACTTAGCGCTCCTTTTTGAGCACAACATGGTGTGCCTCTGTTCTCTCTGGTTTTTCCTCTCCGTGCCGGAGGTCTATGAGGTAGCTTTGAAGATTGTTGGCCATCACCATTTGTCGGCTGCGTCCTTCGGTTTGACTCCTTGAGATAGCTGCAGCTTTGATTGTGATTAAGGTTGAGACGTCAGGACGCTGGGCTCCTGATTTAGACTGACAGCTCTTGAGAGGACTGTCATAGCAGTGCATTGGAAGGCTGACTGGGCGTACAACCCCCCACCCCCCTCCAAGCCCCCCCGCTTCGCCACATAAAACAAAAGCCAGACGAGACCAGAGCTGCTCATATACCAGGGAACGGAGCTGGAATTGCTCAACTCCCCAGTTCTACTTGATAAGACGTCCTATGGGTTTCAAAAAAACACATATTCAACACTTTCACCTCCGAAAATTTCAACTTTGACAGTTTTTTCTCACATTTTTTCCACAGTGAGGCACTCCTTTGATACAGAACATATGCCTGAAACTGATCACTCTTTGCGGTCCCCCTCAGCTGCCCTACATGTTTCTTAATTTCCCTTTTGTTCACTGCTAATTGGAGCAAAAACACGTCCCAGATTTGTCTAAATGATGATGGACATAAATTTGTAGCATGTTTTTTTTTTTTTTTTGGGGGGGGGGGGGGGGGGGGGGGGGGGGGGGCATGTTTGAATAATGTGCAGAGCAGTGAGGATATACATATTTTAACCCTTTACATCTTCTATTGGCACATCTTAAAGGTGAAAACATCTAACGTACATAGACATTTTTTCTTCCTCAACAATAATAAACATTGCTGTTGTTTCCTGTTTCCTATTGAACCTTATGACTTTCTAAATCTGTGGTTAGGGGTCAGCTAATTTGGCCCCGATTACACCCGTTTATTGTATTCCCTTACAAGTATTTTTTTCTGTTTCCCTCCCATCTTGCATCCTTAAGTACAGAAAACTCATTATTTCTATTAACACTACATTTTCCACTAAATGAAATGAAAAAATGTGCCTTAACATAAACAAAATTTTAAATTTCTCTTGTTTTGATAGCCTTTTATAAAAAAAAAGAAATCAAGACTGGCTTTAATTGGAAGAATGTCAGCTCCGTAATGCAATAATCGACATAATAAGCAGTAGTGGGTATTTCTCAGAGTGATAGAATAATGAATTTGCATGCAAAAGATGCAAAAAGATCATACAATCTTGAAAATTACCAAAGTTTTGTATTTTATTTAAGCTGGTTTAGATATCTGAAACTGGTAAGTTTAGTTTAAGAACCCACACTCTACTTAAAAAGTTCTCAATCCATTTAGGATCCACAAAAAATCCCTCTTCTCTCAAGCATTTTCAGCAACTTTCCATCATTCACACACTGATGATTCTGCATACAGTCTGAGCATCTCCTCATTGTTGGCAGCAACTAAAGAGGAAAGAGGTCAAGGGATCACCAATTCGGGTTCTTCAAGAGCGAGGCTCAAGTCTTTTCTATGGTTGAGGCGAAGGAGGACAGAGGATGAGGAGGAGGAGGAGGGAGCCATTTTGTGCACTGCGTTGCCCAGCCGAGCGTAAAGCGTGATTAATTCAATAGCCGCCATAGAAGAGGAGGAGGAGGAGGCTAGCAGCGCCGAGCATGACCCACTTTTACTATAAGATGTCAGGAAAAATTCCCCGCCATATCCCTCTTTTTGCTTTCACTTTTAACGACTTCCTGCCAGAGGAGAGGCAAAAAAAAAAAAAAAAAACAACCCCCCACCCAGCTCAAATCAAGTTTCAATGTTATTTAGCGTGGACGCAGCACATAAAAAAGTAACAGGCTGGAAGGTTTTTGGCGCCACTGAATTACAGACCCTTGACCTCATTCTACAGAATGGAACTATTGAACTATAGCTTGTTTACCATCTTTCTTTTTAACTAAATAAAGAGTCTGAGTCTTAACCGGAAGAAAAAATGCCCTTTTAGTTTGGTTTTTCTTGCTAGTTCTTTTTTCACTTCGTTTCTTAAGAATGAAATCTGGAGCAAGTATTTTTGTCTCCAAGATGGATCCATTGATTTAATCCCTGCCTTTTACATTTTTTTTTACTTTTCGCTCCCTCCCTCCTGCCTGCCCCTGGTGAGGACCTGCACCGCTGGCTTGGGTCTTAAACCCGGATTAAGGCCTTTTACGTAATCTGGTCTTCTCTGGGAAATTGGAGGGACAGCTGGCGACAGAATCTCCACCGCTCATCTATCGAACCTCTGCTGGCCTCCAAAACCAGCATCTAGCACAGATTAGGATGAATTTATAGCAGGAACCTTGCGAAAATATTTCCATTTCAATACATGTCCAGGATTACAGGGAATCTATAAGCACTGTATGTTGTGAAAGGATCTAAAGGGATGCTGGTTAGATCATAGTTAGGCTAATATAAAAGAAAATCAATACCCTTTTCTGGATTTGTAATCATTAAAACACTCTCCCACCCTTGTCACTCCCACCCTTGTCATTTGCAAAGAATAATTTGGATATTCAGGTTTCAACTGAAGCCCAACACCAGAACACATATATCAATATGATAATTATCAGAGCAGGTGATGACTCCTTTAAAGAGTGACTGTGGAAAAAAATCTAGAAATAAGTCATGCTTTTTTGTAATTATGTGTTTAATCTACAGCAGATGAGTTATGGATGTTTATAAAAATTGTAAAAGGTAGTTTAAACATATATAATTTTCACAACATATAAAAAGGGTCCACATTAAAGTATATCTAAATGTAGTGCAATAGCGATACGTCAAAAAGATGCTTTATTCAAAACCAAGAAACAACTTTGTAAGATAAAGTCTATGACGTCTAAATATGGCATGAAAAGTGATGAGTTATTATGTAAACGGTAAAAGGGATTTAGAAAAAGTAATCTAAAAATGTCTACATGTTGTTGAAAAAAAAACAAACAAAACAAAAAAACTTAACTTTAGGAACTACCTCCACACAAAGACATCATATGTGTACAGTAGCTAATTGGTGCGTAAATACATGATTTCACAGTGAATTAAAAAGGTCTAGCGAATTCAAAGATTTGATTAACAGAAGAAAAACAAGACTTGCATAAACATGTAAAGAAATAAAATGCTGTGAATAAAAAGGCTGGGATCACAGAAAACAGAGAGCGGCAAAATGGAAACATGCTGTAACACAAAAACGCCCTGCAAATACATAACACTAAAACACAAAATAAATGCAAGTAAAAAAACACTCTAAGTGAAAACTCAAATACAAGTTAATAAAAGCTACGAATGAGTGCCACATGGAAGAGCTCTAAAACACTTTGGGGAGAAAGACATCATGATGGACCAGACCCCTGTAAAAGCAAAAAACGGATTCTGAGAAAAAACTAAATCCATAAACAAGATTGAAAGAAAAACACAGTTTTTTTTTTTTTACTTTCTTCAGATGCCTTCTAGATGATATCCCATTTATGCTTTCGCTAAGCATCTCCTTCATAATCATCAATTTATTGTAATGTCTATATTCTGTTCCCATATGAGTTACCGACTGTCTCTCCACAGTGGTCTGGCGCTCCTCTATTCTTAAGAACTTGTTCGCGACTTTTCTTGATTTGCAGTTGTATTTGCTGCTTGCATCATTTTTCCTTTGCATGTGTTTTGTGTTTGCCCCAGTTTTGTGTTAGCTAGTGTAACCTTTGTTTTAGCTAGTCGCTTTTATATTAGCGTGTCTGACTTTTGTATTTGCTAGTCAAACTTTTGTGTTGGTTTGTCTAACTTTTGTTTTAACATGTTTAGCTTGTGTTAGCTAATCTTAACTTAGCTAATCTTAACTTTTGTGTTTGCTTGTCTTACTTTTGTTTTAGAATGTCTAACTTTAGCGTTAGGAGGGTCTAGCTTTTGTGTTAGCTAATCTTAACTTTTGTGTTTGCTTGTCTTACTTTTGTTTTAGAATGTCTAACTTTGGCGTTAGAAGAATCTAGCTTTTGTGTTAGCTAACCTTAACTTTTGTGTTTGCTTGTCTAACTTTTGTTTTAGCCGGTCTAACTTTAGCGTATGAAGAGTCTAGCTTTTGTGTTAGCTAATCTTAACTTTTGTGTTTGCTTGTCTAACTTTTGTTTTAGCATGTCTAACTTTAGCATTAGAAGAGTCTAGTTTTTGTGTTAACTAATCTTAACTTTTGTGTTTGCTTGTCTAACTTTTGTTTTAGCATGTCTAACTTTAGTGTTAGAAGAGTCTAGTTTTTGTGTTAGCTAATCTTAACTTTTGTGTTTGCTTGTCTAACTTTTGTTTTAGCATGTCTAACTTTAGTGTTAGAAGAGTCTAGCTTTTGTGTTAGCTAATCTTAACTTTTGTGTTTGCTTGTCTAACTTTTGTTTTAGCATGTTTAACTTTAGCATTAGAAGAGTCCAGCTTTTGTGTTATCTAATCTTAACTTTTGTTTTTGCTTGTCTAACCTTTTTATTAGCTCGTCTAACTTTTGTCTTAGCATGTCTAACTTTTGCGCTAGCGCAGTCTAGCTTCTGTGTTTGCTAAAATAACTTTTGCGTTTGTTGCTATAATGTTTCTGATTGCTTGTGTAACATTTTTGTTTGTTAGTCTACCTTTTGTTTTAGCTAGTCTAACTTTTAACTTCTGTGAAATCATGTATTTGTGCAGCGTTTGCATACCTGGGCAGTTGTATGTACATAGGGGTAAAGATGTTACACCTCTAACTAAGAAAAGATATTTACTCAGGATGTTTATAAGATGTCTTTATGGTGTAGCTGCTAGGCCTGTATCTTAATGGGGGATGTTTTTGACTCCGTTTGTGTTAGGAAGGGCATCCAGTTAAGTCTTTGTGTGATAAAAATGCCAAAAACCATTTTGGAACTTGCTTGGAAAATCTACCTTTCCACTTTTAAATCATTTTGCAGATTTAGAATTTATATATTAAAAAAATAATAATTTTAGCAGAGAATTTGAGAGTGGAATTAAAAAATATTATCATGAAAAAGTGGAGCTTTTTAATTTGTAAATCATAACTAGCTGTCTGAATCCATAAGCAGACTCTCCAGATTATTGGTAATAAATCTGTTTGATTTTACCAACCAATGAAAATCTGACAAATTTGCATGATCTGGATGGTTGTTTTTTGTTGGCATGACTGTAATTTGATGAAATATCAGCTGCACAATTTGTCAGGTGAGACTGTGTAATTATATATAGGAGCCAATAAGAAATTTATTTCAGTTTCCACATGGCAGCAGAGCCTGTGATTGACAGACAGTGACTTTCAGCCAAGGTCAGTCGCTGCAGGAGCTTTTCTGTTTATTTAAAAAAAAAGCATCTGATAAAACAGATGACAAATTTACACACTATTGTTTGTCATTTAACATGAATCATCTTCGTTCTATTGTTTCCTCTTTTCATTTGGATCCTAGAAAAATAAAAAAAATAACTGTGATTTTCCTTGATCTGAAGCTTTCTGCTGTCCATTACACACCTCCTCTGAATTTCTGAGGGAAGTCATCCCATTTTTAAAAAAGCCAAGCTGTTGCTTTCAATCCGGGCTGCAGTATTCTGGATTCTTGCATCAGGGAATCCAGCTGCAGATTAAAAACCCTGCAGCAGACTCCATGTGATCATTTAGATATCTTATTTTTGAGTCAGGTGGCGGTTTGTGGCGCCCTCTTGTGTTTGCTCTGATATTTCTGAGTCCTGATTGAGTCGTTACATCAGAGTTAAGGCAGTATCAGAGAAAATCCAGGTTAGATAAAAAAGTATTTTGTTGCTAGATTAGTTTTTTTTTTTGACTGAGGGAACATTTGCTGCCCTTAAAAAAAAAGTATTGAATAATTTACAAGGGGAAAATGCTTTTATTTTTAAGATTTGATCTGATGAAAACATCCTAAAACACCAAATTGGAAGAAAAAAAAAATGTGATGAAAAGGTATTAGTTTTTTTTTGCCACCTTTTATTTTTCAAATTTTAAGATCAGACATGTTGATTTCTCAGTTTAACCCTTACAGAACCAGGTTAGTTATTTGGTGTACCTGTAAATACTTAATGAACAAACCCTGTTGTCCCATAATAAGAATAGATCCCCCTGCTAAAGCACCTGTTTGTTTAAATTCCATAAGCCATATCCAATGAATTGATTTCGGACTTGTAGAATTAAGAAATCACCTAAATAAAACCTCTCTGAAAATATAAAATAAACTAAAGGATCTTTAATTCACAAAAAGTTGAGAAAAATGTCAGCAAAATCAAAGGCTTTAGGATCTCAGCTGACCATTGTCCATAACAGTGGTAAACCTTCCCAGAAGTTACTAAAATGACTCACATCAACAAATTATCCTAAAAGAACTAAGAGCAACATCTAAAGCAGTGCAGTTCTAAGTTGGATCTGTTAAGGAGAGTCTTGATGATTGCGCAATAAGAATAGACATCTTCCATTGCATTAATGGGAGAGTTTTAAGACCCAAACCACTGGAGACCACACAACATAAATTTAATTGATCTCCTTAGCCCAAATTCATAACTAATGTTGGGTCAATGCACTTTACAGAGCCAATTCAATCAAATCATCCACACGTATCAGTTACAATTTTTCTATCCATGGAAATCAAGCTGATTGCATGCTGTCACTGACTCCTTAGATTTAGTTCCCATTGGATCGCTTACATTTTGCCACCGGATTGGGACCAATTCCTCATACTAATTATAGCAGTGCCCACAGTGGATGGGGAAAAAAACAACCCTTTAAACAAGAACAAATCTCAAGCAGAAGCGGGCCAATTCTGAGTTTGAGAAGACAGCATTAACACACAAAGAGCACAGAAGCATTGATCCAGGAAGACTTTGTTTGAAAGAATAGGTTTACATTATCTCTTTTTTAGGAGAGAAAAACAACAAGGCAGATTTCTAAAGCTCAGGTTTATAAGATAAGAGGGAGCACACAGTCAGAAAAAGCTAACCTCAACAAATGTTTAGGGTGAAAAGACATCTCTACAAATAGACAGGACCAAGTATATGAATAGTATAGAAGGAGAACATTAGCTCACAGGCAGAAGTAGCAATCTGATGCTGCTTTCCAGGACGGACAAAATGCCAGGCCAAGTGTGGCTACTATAAAGAAAAACAACAACCAAAAAAATAGAGGCTTAAGGTTATGTCATGCATATTTGGACAACTCTGAGTAAAACAATTAGAGCCAACTAGAAAAGTAGAGCCCTGCCAAACTGGGCTGTACACTCTGCCCCCCTTCCCCCCTCTACTCCTTAAGAGGTCTTCAGGTCCTCCGGCAGCCTAAGCCTGTAGCAGCATACCTACAAAGATAGCTCAGGAGGATAAACTGCTTTTCAGACTTAAACTAGAACATTAAGATCTGTTTAATTTACCCTTAAAAAGATTTAGAGGGATTGATAGTTTTTCGGGGAAAGTTTTCTAAGTACTAACAAAGCTAAAGTAGAAGTTCTTGGTGAATTAAACCTCCCTCCTTGATGGTGTAAACGACTTCTTGGAAGAATTTGCAAAGACATAGTTGCAATTTTGTTGCACCTACGTGGCACAACCAGTAATAAGCTAAGCTTAACAAATACTTTGTCACATAGAGTTTGTTTAAATAGCTTTGCTCTCTTAAAAAGAGAAATTATCTTTTGAAAGTTGCTTTCTGGATTTACTAAAATTATCTTTGTCATCACCTTAATTCTCTGGTTCCTTTTTTTGGCATGGCAGCTGACCGGTTAGCTGATTCCACCACCACCTCCTCTCTCACGTCACCACGCCCCTTCCTTTCACTTCCAATCCCGACATGGAACCCATCAAGGTGCAATCAGAAGGCGGTCTAAATGTGACTCTCACCATCAGGCTGCTGATGCATGGAAAGGTACAAACAGCTGTTGAAACCTCTGGCTTCTACGTTGATGTTTTAGGATTGAAAATAATCAGTTTGTTCTTCTTTTGCAGGAGGTGGGAAGCATAATCGGAAAGGTATTGATCAAAAGTACTTTAATTGGAGCTTTTCAAGTGAGATCTAAGTTGCAAGGAAAGATCTGACTTGTTTCATCTACTTTTCAGAAAGGAGAGACTGTGAAGAAAATGCGCGAAGATGTAAGATCTGTCCTCGTAAGATTTATCAGCCAATTGGGATATAAAACAAAAAGTAAATACATTGCATATTTTCTGCTTTTTTTCCAGAGTGGTGCCCGCATCAACATCTCGGAGGGGAATTGTCCTGAGCGGATAGTGACAATCACCGGGCCGACAGACGCCATTTTCAAGGCCTTTGCCATGATTGCCTACAAGTTTGAAGAGGTAAAGCTTTAGCTGAACATCCTAGTTAGAAGAAATAGCTCAATTTGGACCACATTTGGTCCCCATATCTGTCCTTATATTGTATGTAGTATGATTTACAATTTGATGTTAGAACTACTGGAGGGCATAATAGGTGTCATGACCACTTAATCCACATTGACACAGGCAATGACCAAAGCACCCGACAATTAAAACTATACCTGAACATCAAAAAAATCCTAAAGCACAGTTGATTCCTCATATTTGCATTAGACAACATCTTCAATAACATTGAATGTAAGCTGAATTCTCTGAGTATTACTAAGGTCTTAAACTCCATAATCCATCTCTACCTGCTCCTGCTTCAATACATGACCATCAATACATGATTAAGTATAATTGTAGTCGTATTGCGGCTTTGCATGAGGTTTTCTGCTTTTTTGATAGCTTAACATTTCGAAGGCGACCACGATAGAGCGATGTTTTAATGATGTCTTTTCTGATGTCCTTAGAGAGACTGATCTATCTTTAAAGCCTTAACAATGGACAGCTCTATTGTCTTTTCTTTTTAAAATGGGTATATTTGCTATTCTCAGCATGGCATGATTCAGGGACTACAAAATTCCCAAAACAGAGTGTGTTGCTTGGAGCTTTTGTATCACACCCATAGTTATTTGACTGGTTCTAACCTGATGATGCTAACCCTGTTAGTCCCTCCTTTGAAATTGAGCTGTACCAGTTCTTAACCAGACTGACATAACGTATATGTCTTATCAATCTGTTTCACCAGCCTAAGGGAAAGGAGCCTGTATTTTTTCTTATTGATAGCTACTTTAGCATATAAAGCTTGCTACATTCCTATCCTGCTGTAAAGAGCTATAAGAAATCCCACTATCCTTTGCGTGACAGCCAACCTCACGGATGTAAACAAAAATAGATTATTGTTTATATCTCTGAACTCTGTGGGACACATGCAAATGTTAACACTTTCATATGGTTTGTTTTTTTGTAATGGAGAGTTTTAGCTGGCCGCCACATTTGTTCATTTGTTAATGTATGTTTTTTCCAGTTCTTTTCCAAAAGGCTGTTTTTGCAATTCGACAAAATGTATCCATGTGCGTTTCTGCTGCATAAAGTCATCCGTTATAATGTCCATGTTTGGTACAGCAGTCCAGAGTTACTTTCCTTTCCTGTTGTGTTTGAATCAAGCCCTTGTTACTGTCTTCTCTTATCTCATGTCTTCAAGGTCAAGAGAAGGGTTTCAGAGTTGTGGCCATTACTTTATTGTTTTCAAACAGATGCATAAGCTGGTGTAGCCAACGTCGGTCCTCTAGAGCTACTGCAGGACTGAAACAAATGAATGGGTGATGCCCAGGCCTCTGCATAACTTACCAACATGCAGGGTGTGTTGGAGCAGTGAGCATGCAAAAGCTGTAGAACAATGGCCCTCAAGGACCTATGTACCCTAAAGGTTAATTTATGCTTCTGACGCATAGCCTCTACAACAGTCAAATCTGTCTCTGTGACGACGGCTGCAGAACCTCTGCGCGGGGGGTGTAGTAGCGAATCTCAAAAAAATCCTGACTACGCGTCGGATGGTTGCAAACCCGCGCAGACCTCAAAGCACAGACAAAAAACAGCTGGGATTGGTCCTTTGCATGCTTTTCCGGTTGTCCTTCTCGATTCGGTGCCGGGGTGCGCCATTTTTAAAAACCAAGGAACAACTATAATGGACAACTACGCCGAAAGTTTAATTGAGGAGGTTCGCACCATTAACAGTACCTGTTCCTCTTCGACGTCTAGCAACTGTAGATACATCTTCTTGACCATGATATCTTGCAGATGCTTAAACACTCACGCCAGCGCCGCCGAAGTTCTGGTGACCATCCGCTGAAGTTCTTGCGAGTTCTCGAATAGGCTCCCCCTTGCACTTTAGCAGAAAACTTCTGTGCGTCCCTAGAAAGTCCAGACTGACAGTGCAGAAGCATACCAGCAAAACTGGTTCGCGACCAGGCCCAAGTGACATTTGATGCGTGCGGTTGCAGAAGTATAATCCACCCTTAACCCTGAAGCATTATAAAGTTCTTAGCTTTGGCATCTTTATCTTTCTGGATCTTTTACATAGTTTTTGGTCATAGACTTTACTAATGAACATTCCACAATGCAACATGTTTTCTGGAATCATATTCTTGCTGTTTGTTAATTCATAGCTTTACTTCATTACAGAGTCAAAGAATAACATTATCTTTATTTTTATTCTGTTTTTCAGTTGCTAAAATCAGTACAAACTACTGCATCTAAATACATTGTATAAAGGAAATACTGAATTCTTTACCCATTTCAGGCATCAGCTCTCAAAAAGCCAAATCTGTCAAGTTTCTGCTGTTGAGTGGTAAAATATTGTTAGGAGAAAAATAGAAAGCAAAGAAAAAGAAAGCTGAATCCCTGTCTCCTACTTGAGTACCGGGTATGGCTCATCAGGAAGAATACAAAGCAGGCTCAATTATGTTATGTAGGACAGAAATGTGCTGATCTCACCTTCCAGCACCCTCTGAAAATGGGCCAATACTCTGCTTTCATTAGGCCGTCGAATCTGCGTCTGAGAATGGTCCTCATAGTATTCTGATTAAATATATTCCTTAGACTTGGATTGTCAAAACAATTTATAGTAAATGATTAAATTTTTCATACATTACTACAGGTTAGTATTTACTATAATTTAAACGCTGCATAAACATATGAATACAGTTCCCCTGTAAAAGGATCACCAGTTATTTCATAAATGCTAGAAAAAAACAGAGGGATTTTCTAAAGATAACTAGACCATCAATTCCTCAATGAATTGACACGTTCCGTGCACTGATAAAACATTACATGGAAAGATTTGACTATAAGGTTTTTGGTCCATTCTGAGGAAAAGAGGGAACACAGAACTACATGTAAATTATTTATCACCCTTAAAAAAGGAGCTTCAACTGAGATGATTAGCTTCAACAGGAGACAAGTAACTGGATTACGTTAATTTGAAATAATTTATTGGGATTAAAAGTTGACAAGTTAAACCATTGAAAATAAATTAGGTTGAATGAACCTCATTCAATCAGTTTTTACTACAACTACTTTGTTTAAGTTGGAACTGCAAAGGAGAGGTATGCTGTTCCACACTCTTTATGTTCTTTGGTAAATTATCTACCTGTGGTCCTGATCTTAGAGAGTTGTACATTTTAAAGTCCAGGCCTAGGAGTATATTTTCCCCTATAATAAACAGATAGCAGCCAAGCTACTTCCTCTTCTTAATGACATCGAAAGAGGTTTAAGTCGCATAAAATGTGTCCTACCTTTAAATAATTTTACTTAACTTTTGACCTGTTTTTTATGTCAGTAAACATAACTCAGTGTTTATTGATGCTCTTTGTATGCTGCTCTTCTTATAAACTCTTCTATCTAACTTGAGAGGGTCAGATCTGTTTCTGAAGGAGTCATGTGACAAAGACTGCCGTTTATAGCAGTCCGAGGTACCTTTAAACCTTTAAAAGTTGTCTGTTTCCCTATCTGCTGGTCCAAAGCGGTCTGCTCTCAGATTCCAAAACACAAAGGGAGATGCTTTGATTATACGGCAGTGCTGCCCCTTTTAGAGCCTACTTTAGGGGGCTCCAAACCTAAAGGTTACATGTCTGTCACCTCTGTTGGCTAAAACCTACACAGTGTTTCTTTAAGACAAAGTCTTCGGGGTTGTAAATTTATGTCAAAAACTAGGAACAGTGATTCCTTCAATATATCAGCAATAGTCTCACTCACAATTCATCAAACATTGATGCTTGTCACGTCCCCTGCGCCTGTCATTTACTCTATGCGTTGTTCAGTGATGAGACGGCTACCCCCGTCAGGTCAGTATGTGCCACGCAACAGGCTTTGACCAAGTGTCAGCATTTCACGAGGTTGGAGTGAGAATGTGTTGGAATCGAATGACCAAGAAACTACCTCCTCTCTGGTCCAAGCTTACTTCCTGTGTGTGATGACACCACAGGGCTAGATTTGCATAGAATCTTCATGGAACCTAGCTTTTTTAAATTTAATTTAACTTAAAATCCGTATTCGGTAACCTACTGAGGCCACTCTTAATGCATCATTATGAGATTAGTTTGTGTTAGACTTCCTGATACACATTAAACCAAATTTCCCAGTCGCAAAATGTTAAAACCACCCTTTCAAACATGATTTGAAATTTAGGCTACAAATCGAACATTTGTTGCCTAAATTTACTTCTTGTTCTTCATGACATCACGATGGCTTAGTTTAAATAAAGGTTGAGTTGGGGCTCTTGGGCCCTTTTGTCAAAATGATCAAACAGAGATTTTTGGACCGTTTTTAAAACCGAGTCGGGTAGTTGATGCATTGCAGATGGCAAAATGGGATACATTAATAATAAGTTTTCAATAAAACATTGAATTTCCTTTCCGCCTCTTCAGGATATAATCAATTCAATGAGCAACAGTCCGGCCACCAGTAAGCCACCAGTAACCCTGAGGCTCGTTGTTCCTGCCAGCCAGTGTGGCTCCCTTATCGGGAAAGGCGGTTCCAAAATTAAAGAAATGAGAGAGGTAAGCAGCAGTTTTGCCATCTGTACAATAATCAGTAGATACCATCATATGTTCCTAAAATCCTTGATTAGCGGATAACATAATTTCCAAAACCTTTCATATCATACCTTCTGTTAATATATTCAAAGCTGGATCAGGTCAGTGAAAGATGAATCAGTGATGTCTTCTGGTTTTATGTCTGCACTAGTCCACAGGAGCTCAGGTGCAGGTTGCAGGCGACATGCTGCCCAACTCCACCGAGAGAGCAGTGACCATCTCCGGAGCGCCGGAAGCCATCATCCAGTGTGTCAAACAGATATGTGTGGTGATGCTGGAGGTACAAAGGGAAAGGGAGGGGGCACACACTTAGAGTTTTTTCCGTACTCATGGATTAAAACTAGTGCATTTGATGTAATTATGATCCCTTGAGTAAGATAAGAACTCTCTTTAAAATGATTCACCTGTGCAGTTAGTATCTTTCACAAGGGAACAACATTTTTTTGGTCAATATATGAAAAGAAGATGTAAAAAAAACACATTTAAGAAGGCTCAACATCTGTAGAACACCTGCTAGGGGTTTAACTGATCAATCAGCGTGGACAAGACGTCTTCTTTTTCCAGGACATGTCCTACTTTTAATACCTAAAAAAAATGTCCGGTGGGAATTTCAAAATCGCAGAACCGAGCCGTGAGCTCCGGGTTTGGTCCGGTGCAGGGAGCCAGCGGGGGACGGATCGATGGAACCCGAACCGGTGACTGTAGCCTATACAACGGCGGACAAAGGCAGGCTGGGGGAAGCATACCGTCACCAGGTTTGGGTTCGGTCCAGCCCCGGAGCTGATGGGTTGGTTCAAAGACCCTGTCCAGTCCAGTCAGCGATCTAGCAGCCCCCCCGGGTCCCCCGGTCCAGTGTCCTACTTAACAGAAACCCAAATCACGTCACCATAGTTATATAGGCAAGAAAAACTTAAAATATGTCTGTCCCCACTGTGCTCAGTTATGTCAAAAATATTTTAAGGTTTGTTCATCATTAGCTAGCTAACTATATCTTTCTCTTGCTAGCTAGCTAGCAATCTAGGCATCTCCAACTATATATATTTGTAGAGACAGAGAAATAGATAGCAAAGGACTCAGTAGGTACATTTACAGGGACAGAATAATCAGATTGAAACCTTGATCAGATTAAAATATTTCATATAACCTTGTCAGACTGAAGACTCTAATCCGATTCTGTCCGTTTGGAAGGATATTTCGTTACGAACCAGATTTTTTTCCGACTGCCCTTCCGCTTGCCGTCTATATACACACCCAGTCAGATATTTAGCGTTTTACTCCTTACCTTCTTACACTGGCTTCTGGTCCTTGGTGGAAGAGGTGGGATGAAATGTAATGTACCATGCTGCCTTTTACCCCTGTAGTGAAGGAGCATTAGCATAAGCTACTGTTGAGGCCTTAACTTTGCTAAAACGACCACCAATACCAAAAAAAATAAAACAAAGGTGCGTCAAAGGTCCATTATGAAAAACTAGGTCAACAGACACGACTGAAGCAAAACAAATGTGAAGTGCAGGCACAAAGGGTAGCTAGATTTGAGGATAAGCGGACAAGTAAGGGTGTATTCATAAAACAGTAACTACTACTACTACCTTCCGGAATACTAGACAGTACCGCGCATGCTACATGTATACACACACATCATGGTCAAATAATTTTATTAAGTGTCCTTTTGATGAGAGGTTTTGAGTTTCCAACTAACCAAGGTTTAGATCGAATCGGGATGCCCATGTAAGCAAAGCTACCATGGCCTTACCCACCTTCTCCGTATGCATTTAAGTTCTCTGAAGTATCCCAACAACAGACTACTTTATCCAGTACCAATTTCTCCTGATTATTGTTCTCACATGTCAGAGTTCTATTTGTTGGATCTTCTTGCACCATTAATTTTAACTATCTGCACAGCCAGTTCTCCATTGGGCCTTCATGATGGCACCAGCCATGGATGCTAGGACTTTTGTGACATGACTGTAAGTCTCCAGAATATGGACTGAGAAATATATTTAAAGAGCACTATGTTGAGTCGTCATTATCCAGTTGAAAGTGATTTTCCAGGTAAATCCAGGTGTAGTTGTGCACTGAACCACAGTTTGGATATTTTATGTCAGCATGAACACAGTGAAGAGCACTTTTGTGTGACACAGGTTGTCTTCCCCGAGGCACCGTCCCTTTTGGTCTCACTTTATGCAACTTCTGTCTCTCTTCTTTTCTGCTCTAACACTCTCTCCACATCTCCCCTCCCAACCTACCTCCCACCCCCCCCCCACCCCCACTCTCTCCTCCTTTGCTCTCCTCAGTCCCCACCGAAAGGTGCCACCATCCCTTACCGCCCAAAGCCTGCCTCCACCCCTGTCATTTTTTCAGGTGGCCAGGTAAGAGCAGACCCACTGGGGGCGTCCACAGCCAACCTCAGCCTCTTACTGCAGCACCAGCCACTGCCTGTTAGTGTCGCACCAGGTTTTACTCACGTTTCCCCCCCAACCCTCACTCCTCCTCTTCCTGCCCCCGACTAGCATGAAACTATCCCCACTGTTTACTCTCACCAAGCAGTCTGAGCCACTTTAACCAGAACTGAGATAAATATCTAAAAAAAAAAAAATGTCAGATGGGTTTAATACATATTTCTTACAGATTAAAAAAAAAAAGAAAAAAGGAAGGAATAACAAAACAGAGCTTTTGGGATTCAATTTGGATTAATGGAGATTCATAAAACCGTTAACTCTCCTCATCCTTTTTTTCAATTATTTTGCATATCTGTTAGCTTTCTATTCCAAAGCAGTTACTGGTGGCCTAGTCCTCTCAACTGCATTTAAGCAAGTTGCATCAAATATCTGCAAGCAGAAGCACATCCATAAGTTTCCAGCACATGGGAACAATTAACCCATTAAAACCAATTGTATCATATTTAATACATGAGGTTTTGAGGACTTTGCATCATCAGTTTGATGTTGCTGATCTTAAAAACCCTGACTTACACAATCAGACACATTTAATGAACAGAAAACGTCTATAATATTCTACAGAAATGTCTAATGTATCGAAATGTATTCAAATAAATGATCTAATTTAACTTATACAAAATATATATATATTCTTTTCTTTTGTTTTTCAGAGAGTTCAATGACAACTCTAAATAAAAAAAAATAATTTTCTTTCATTTATTTCATGGTCCAGGCTTTATAGGGTTAATGATAAACCAGAAACATAGCAGATTAACTTTAACAGAAACCTAAAACTAGAGGACATAACTAAAGGTTGATAACTTTACCTTTTGAGGGTTCCTTATTTTGTGCAACACTTGCACCAATTGGACATAAAAAAGGTAATGCCTCTTTTCCAATAACCATAGAATTGCACATTTTGAAACCTTAAATCCCAAGTTTTGCAATTAAGTATATATTTTTTTCCATTTAACACATCAAGGGAGTATAATCTAACCCTGGCATTTAAAAAAACAAATATTCCTTGTGCATACATTGAAATAAGATATTTTTGTTCCATCCCATAAATTGGTAAATTGGTAAAAAAAAAAAAAAAAGATATATATACATCAGAATTAGTGTAACAAAAACAATAAAACATCAAATGAAACAATAATCAAACTATTGTAAATGAAATAAAAGATTAAAAAGCATATTCTCAGAGGAACAGGGTGGGCTTGCACCTAATAGAGTTTGGACAGGGTTGAAATGGATGATTAGTAAGATAAAAATAAAAAGAAGAAAGTAAGAATTACATCTGAATGGGTCATAAATATTGCTAGAACATAAAACCCAATCAGGATAATGTCTACTTAGTCACTTTTTCCCTTTTTTTTCTGCGCCAGTTACAGAAAACTTTCAACAGATGATACTTTTTCCTTCCAATCTACCTTGTTTTAAAACATGCTCTTTCTCTAACATATACATATATATGGAAATACCTATCCTTAAAAAATTTATAGCATCTGCACAGTATTCCTTAGGAACAGATTAGCCTTTGTGTCTTTTTTTAAATTACTCCCACACTCGTGTGAATGAGGCTGCAGAAAAGGAATTGAAACTGTGCAATTCAACTTGAAAGAATATTAAACTGAATTCTTAATTAAATGTTGCTTACAATCAAAGAAGACTAGTTCTTATAATGTTTATAACAATTTTTTCAACTGTGATTGAATTATCCTGAAGTACCCCTGAAATAGATTAAAAAATCCTGTCATGTAATGACTACAGTAGACCCTGCCTATCAAAACGAAGTAAACCTTTTGGAGGGGGCGGTGTACATTTAGGACTAGATAGTCTTCTTTTCTTTTCTAAAATAGTTTTTATCTTCTTGTTTTAACATTTTTTAACCTCTAATTTAACTCAGTTCTGACCTCGGTGGCCCTGAAAACCACAACACATCCAGTAGGTCCAGACTTTTCACCCCCTTAAGGGTTTCTCCTCTGGTTTTCTCCACACTACCCTTCTGTCTGAGTTGTTCCTTATTGATTTAGTTCAACTGGATCTGACTTATAAATAGAAGCAGATACTATTACAGAATGCATGGCTTTAATGTCATATAGACAGAATATAAATCAGTTTAGGCTGTTATCTTATTCATATACTTTGCAAATTTATCAGAGCATGTTTTCGTTTGTTCAGTCAACCCAACATGGTAACAACCAGCTCTTTTCTTCGTGTTTACAGGCTTACACCATCCAAGGACAGTATGCCATCCCTCATCCAGATGTGAGTGCTAACCCCGCTAGGCAGCCAACACTGCACTCTTCAACACTCTTTCTCTTGCTTTCTACCCACTCTTATTAATATTAATGAATAATATTAATATTATTTCTTATAAATGTGCATTTCCTGTCTTCTAACTTTATAGCTTCTTGGCTACCTTTCTGTTTCCGGGTTTAAACCTCATGGGCTTGGCCTGAAGGGCACTTTTCTTAAAATAATTTGACAGACAATATGCTTTGTTAAACTATATTAAATGTCATCTAAAGGATTAATTATATTTGTCTCAAATGAAAATTATTTGGTTTTTCTCCATTAAGCACTAATATCGTTGCATGTCTTATAGGAATTGCAAAGAAAATCACCTAGTGGGCAACAACCTGGACTAGGTTCAAAATAAGGCCCGGCCTTTTTGGTCCCGGCGGCCCACCATTGATGCTATATTTTATGGGGTGACGCATAGCATACTGTAGCACATATACACACTTTTGGGAGGTTTCAAAGGAAATATATAACAAAAGAAATGAATCAGAAACTATTTAATAAAGAGGTTACTCACATGTAGCTAAGATTAATCAGTTCATCAGCAGACTGTTAGTGCTAATGCTAACCTTTTTTACGTGTCCATAAAGAAAGCAGCAAACTTTGCATGGCATCTGAGCCTCTTTAGCTCCTTAAGTAAGCAGCAGTGCTTGAAGGCTTGAACAATGTTCACGCAGGTGTCTTCTCTATTTCTTGGTCTTCAGTTGTACTGTTTGTCAGCCAGCTTCCTGATCCACGAATGCTAATGCTAGCTTAGCAGCCTTTAAAGTACCTGTCCAAAAGGAGAGTAGTGATCTTTGGTGGCATCTGCCCTGTTGCTTCCTTAAGTAATCATTATTGCTTAAAGGCTTGACCAATGTTCACGCAGGTGACTTCTTTGTTTTTTGGTCTTCAGTTGTTTTGTTTGTCAGCCAGCGTCCTGATCCACGAATGCTAATGCTAGCTTAGCAGCCTTTTTAACGTACTTGTCCGAAAGGAGAGTGGTGATCTTTGGTGGCATCTGCCCTGTTGCTTCCTTAAGTAATCATTAGTGCTTAAAGGCTTGACCTGTGTTCACTCCTTTCTTGTTTTTTGGTCTTCAGTTGTACTGTTTGTCAGCCAGCTTCCTGATCCACCAATATCAACCATATAACGTACCTCTCCGGAAAGAAAGTGATAACCTTTGGCGGCATCCGTCCTGTTTGATTCCTTAAGTCGGCATCAGAGCTCAAAAGCTGCTTGATGGATGTTGACTCTTGTTTTATATTCTTTATTTTTTGGCTTGAATCTGAGAAATTTAAGGACAACAAGAAGCAGTTTCTCAGCGCTATGATTGAGCTGCTATGACCTGGCAACGCCTGGGCTCCATCTCAAGTAACTTCAGTCCACTATTTCTTTTGGTGTAGAATCCTTTGTGGCCATGTTTGCGTTGTAACCAAAGATAAATGCTATATATATACTTTTAGTAAAATAATACATTCTTTTGTGCCACTCTACACTCACCGGCCACTTTATTAGGTACCCCATGCTAGTAACGGGTTGGACCCCCTTTTGCCTTCAGAACTGCCTCAATTCTTCGTGGCATAGATTCAACAAGGTGCTGGAAGCATTCCTCAGGGAGTTTGGTCCATATTGACATGATGGCATCACACAGTTGCCGCAGATTTGTCGGCTGCACATCCATGATGCGAATCTCCCTTTCCACCACATCCCAAAGATGCTCTATTGGATTGAGATCTGGTGACTGTTGAGGCCATTTTAGTACAGTGAACTCATTGTCATGTTCAAGAAACCAGTCTGAGATGATTCCAGCTTTATGACATGGCACATTATCCTGCTGAAAGTAGCCATCAGAAGTTGGGTACATTGTGGTCATAAAGGGATGGACATGGTCAGCAACAATACTCAGGTAGGCTGTGGTGTTGCAACGATGCTCAATTGGTACCAAGGGGCCCAAAGAGTGCCAAGAAAATATTCTCCACACCATGACACCACCACCACCAGCCTGAACCGTTGATACAAGGCAGGATGGATCCATGCTTTCATGTTGTAGACGCCAAATTCTGACCCTACCATCCTAATGTCGCAGCAGAAATCGAGACTCATCAGACCAGGCAACGTTTTTCCAATCTTCTATTGTCCAATTTCAATGAGCTTGTGCAAATTGTTGCCTCAGTTTCCTGTTCTTAGCTGAAAGGAGTGGCACCCAGTGTGGTCTTCTGCTGCTGTAGCCCATCTGCCTCAAAGTTCCACGTACTGTGCCACCTTGGATGTAACGGGTGGTTATTTGAGTCACTGTTGCCCTTCTATCAGCTCGAACCGGTCTGGCCATTCTCCTCTGACCTCTGGCATCAACAAGGCATTTCCGCCCACAGAACTGCCGCTCACTGGATGTTTTTTTCTTTTTCGGACCATTCTCTGTAAACCCTAGAGATGGTTGTGCGTGAAAATCCCAGTAGATCAGCAGTTTCTGAAATACTCAGACCAGCCCTTCTGGCACCAACAATCATGCCACGTTCAAAGTCACTCAAATCACCTTTCTTCCCCATACTGATGCTCGCTTTGAACTGCAGGAGATTGTCTTGACCATGTCTACATGCCTAAATGCACTGAGTTGCCGCCATGTGATTGGCTGCTTAGAAATTAAGTGTTAACGAGCAGTTGGACAGGTGTACCTAATAGAGTGGCCGGTGAGTGTAGATGTGCTGTGGATGTATCTCTGTCTGTACACAGAATTTCATACCACTGTGTTTAGGTTTCAAGTCATTAGTTCCGATGCTGTAACAACACAAATTAATACAGAGGTGACTACACCCTGATACAGACTTACTAATGATATGCTACATCTTTGTCCAAGATATAGAGCCTCTTGTTGTGGTTGAACTTCCAATCTGTTGTCCAAATGAATATGAAGGCATTCATACTCCTACACTATTGACATATTCCTACCGCTGGTGAAATCAAAATCTTTGACAGGAGTCCAACTTGTACTAAAAGTTTCCACTGTAAAACTTTAAAGGAAAGGTATAACATATAAAGGTGTTGCCTCTATGCTGATGACAACCGGGTGAGATCCAAAACCCTTTAGCCAAGCGAGGACTGGAGGATTTCATGCCAAGGGGCAGGAGAGGAAGGTGCTGAGCTAAATGTTTTCAATTCATTTGATTTATCCACACTTCCATTGTCTCTTCCTTCTTCTTTCTAAAGCCTGTAATCTCCGCCATTCCCAACCATACATCTCCAGCATAATTCTGCTCAAGCTTGCTCTCAAGTCTCTTGTCTATTTCCTTACTGTCTTGAACATTCTCTGTTTCCCTCCCTTCCTTTAAGTATTCTCCATCGTGGAGCGGTTCAAGTCTTTTATTCTGATGTGGAGTAAGAACTTTGCCAAGTCTAATCTCAAGTTGGTAAGCAGTGTCTGGAGTTGCCATAATAAGTGCTGTCCGAATAGGGCTGGCAATTAGGAAGAAATTAGGACCAGTAAACATTATTACAAGTTAGCAAGGGACCTCCTATTATCCTTAGTCGTCACTAGGTCTTTTAAGGTTACCCGCGATCCTTTGTGTGACAGACTTCGTCCCCTCTTTCCTGTTCTACATAAAAAATGTGTGACGGAGGAGACTCATCCATGACCTCCGACCCAAATCTCTCCTCGTCTTGCATGTTTCCGCTGTCCATAGTGTTCCTTGACAGTGTCGTTGCTAACTGCTACTTGGTCCCAATGTAATTTCCCATTGGGAACCTACTAGCACTAAGTTGCTAACGGGTTAGCAAGATGATTCTGACAAACCGACCACAACCAAATGATTGCTTGCGAAACTTCCGCCACAACAATCCCGCCCCCTTGATAATCGACCAATCACATTCACTTTATTCACTCATGTAAAGTCGGAAACCTCTAGGGAGAATTTGGAAATGCAACGGTTGGAACAGCCATTTCCCTACGACTTTAATAGCGCATATATTCACCTGGGACTTGATGATGTCTGTGTTACACACCCTGGTTGCAAGCACTAAAGTGTATATGACAATAGAGTAGTGAATCTATTCTATTTATTTATTTTTATTTATTGTATTTTAAATAGGCCTATAATTCATAGGTCTCTGTGAGTTTATGGTTGCTATTGGGGATGATGAAAGTTATGGCCAGCCACTCATTATTGCAAACAACGACCTTGATGTAAAGGCTACTCATACCAGTGGGGAAATATTCAACAGTACCATCGGAAGTTTTTTAAAGCTGCAGAGCATCCAAAACCAGATTGAAACATTTTAGTCCTCTAACCTGAGAGAAAATCACTAGGAATATAACACAGTTACTGAAAATAGCTTCTAAAGTGTGGTATGATAAGGAAAAGGATAGAACTAACCTTAGAATAATTAGGTGGGACTTATGTAAACAAAAGTACTCTTAACAGGCCAAGTCCATTTCTTTCTTTCTCTAAATTTATTTCTCTCTCTCTTGATTTTGGTCCTTCACCTGTCTGTGTTTTTACTTCTCCTTAGATCCTTTCTCTTCTCTTGTATCACTTCCAGCAGACCTCTCTGTATATATCTATCTATGTCTGTATGTGTGTGTCTGCGTGCGAGGCGGAGTGGGTTTTTAATGATGACCTCATAGCTCTGCTGTCCTCCTCCTCCCCCCCTCAGCAGTTGAGCAAGCTCCACCAGTTGGCTATGCAGCAAACCCCCTTTACCCCCCTCGGACAGACCACCCCTGCCTTCCCCGGTACGTACCCACCTACACAATGACCCTCTTTACCGAAGATCCTTCTCTCGTTTTTACCTATAGAGAAAAACACTTTCTCTTCCTCGTTTTTCTTCCTCTCTTTCTCTCTCTCTCTCTTCTTTGGCTTTATCTGTTCTATCTCTTTTTTCTTCTCGTTGTTGTTTTCCTAATGGTCTTTGTGGTGAACTGCAATTGACATGGCCTGCTGGTGGTCTGCTCTTGTTGATGTTGAGGTTTCTTTTATGGTTTTCCCTTAGTATCTCTTTTGAAGTAACACTAATATAGATTGTCGATTTGACCTATAACTCACCTAGCACTCAAGTCCTCAAGCAATGATGACTTATGTGATGCATTTACTGCTAGAAATCTGTAAATAGACTTTACAACTTCTTCCCTCAACTTGCCAAACTATTTTCTGTCCTTTCCCTCCTTGCTTCTCTTTGTGTACTTCGTCTGTTCAGCAGCAGGTCTGGATGCCAGTAACCAGGCCAGTACTCATGAACTCACCATTCCCAATGATGTGAGTACATTCATCTTAGTGGGCAAAAAATTCATCAGTCCATTTCAGTCTCATTGTTTTTTAAAATAAATAATCATATAAAATTAGGATTTTATTTAAAACTATGTGTTCGTGACAAAGAAGACCTTCTATTAAGGCTCAAGCTTTTTGGTTTAGGTGTTTTCTGTCTTTGCACATTTTGGGTGAAATGTTTCCCCATTCTGTTTTACAACATAGCTAACGTCCAGTCATGATTGGTGAAAAGTGTCTAGCAGATTTTCTTGGCTAGGTCTGTACTTCGCCTGGAAAATCCGGATCATGTTTTGATCCATTGTCGCTCTGTCTGTATGTTCATGCGATTATCACTATCAGTATCAGACTATAGTGGGTCTGATCAGCAAATTTCAGATTCTCACATTTTAATTTTTAAAACCTTGTATGATTTTATCTTACAAGTATGCACAACCTTTTGTTTGTCAGTAAAATCAGATAAAATCCCAATTAAGTTCATTAAATATTAAAAAATGTATTAAAGCTTAGTAGGCAATTCCAATTCCACAGGGCCAGTATTTTGCAACTTTTAGATGTCATTGGTCCAACACTCCTGAATCAAGTAATTAGATTATTAAACTGACTCTGGAGGAATTGGATGGATATTAAGGAGATATTTCAGCCAATTGATTCAGGTGCGTTGGACCAAGGACAGATCTAAAAGTTGCAGAATACCAGCACTCCATAACTGGAATTGCCCACCCCTGCTAAAGTGTATAAAACGGCAGTGAACGTATAAAAAGGGGCGAAAGGTTTTAAAAGTAAAGTGCTTTGTTTAAGGAGTCCTGTAGAAAGTGTGAAATAACAGAAGCTTGCCAAAATTCTGAATCTTTTCTTCATCAAAAGAAGATTCCTATTCATGATCCAGCCATCCTAATTCCTGCCCCATTTTCTTCCCAGCTAATAGGCTGCATAATCGGACGCCAGGGAACCAAAATCAACGAGATCCGTCAGATGTCTGGGGCGCAGATCAAAATTGCTAACGCCATGGAAGGGTCATCGGAGCGCCAGATCACCATCACAGGGACCCCCGCCAACATCAGCCTGGCTCAGTACCTCATTAATGCAAGGTTAGAGAGCTCAGACGCATTGACATGTTCTAATGGAGTAAATAAATGTTAAAGCTTTCTGTTTTGTTGTTTAATTTTTATAAAGAGAGGAACTAACTAGTTTTAGCTTTTAGGTTTAGAGACGTTGCGGCCATGTGGAATGACCCATCATCCATGACCACATCCTGAGATCCCTGACTGGCTCCTCCGTTTGGCCCTTTCCAACGACCGACTACTGCAGACAACCCCGATGAAGCCCCCAGGTCTCTGTCTCTGGCTCTCCGAAAATCCTGACCACCTCACCATCCTGTATGACCCAACATCAGGGAGGGTTCGGTGTTCGCTTTTATTTCAGAGAGCTAAATTAAGTCAAATAAGAAAAAAAAAAAGTAAACACACGAAAAAATACTCTCTGTTGATTAGTTTTTTTTTTTTAGAGAACTGTTAAAGCATGTTGAATGTTTATTAGGCTAAATCTTGTGTTTATTTCTCTTCTTTTTCTTTTCATCTATTGCTTTTTCTAAATATATGTCAGTGCACAAAACAAAAAATATTATTAGCAAAAGACTGAACTTTTTTTGTAGAACTTAGGTATTTGTATATTACAAAGCAGCTGCTCAGTGATGCTATCGGCAGAGTGTGTGGTGGGATGTAGCCAAATGATTCATCATGAATTATATTTTCAAAAAAATAATAAAAAAATAGGACCATTCCTCGTCTAATCTCTGCCCGAGACGCTTTGCTGCACCACATGACCCTTTAAAGCCAATGGTATCACTCCTCTAGCCTCCCTTCTGGTATTAATTTCCCCTATTTATGATATTGCATGTGTTCAGTGTTGTTTCGTTGCGTATTTGAGTGAAAAAAAAGAAACCTGCTCCATGATTACTCTTTTTCAGATGTTACTCTTATATCTTTGTGCTCCTGTTTCTTTTCCACGATCTTTTTCAGCAATCTTGGCCGTTCACGTCCAGTCCTACTCCCTGTCCAGACAGAAATTTTTTCCAACATAGCCTCCTTTGAAAACCAATTAATAGTATATACTGTAGATGCATGGATGGGAATTAGTGAAAATCAGTGACTTAAACACTGATGGAAAATTTTAATGATTGTTAATTAACTTATAATTATTATGTATTTTTTTTGTACAAGGACTAATGTGACTTAACACATTAGTCGACTACGCGGCGCTCATGCAATAGACTATTCAACACTTTATTCTGGACTGCCTCCGATATGTGAGGATTAGTTGGACTTCAAAGTCAGGCGTCCGTCTAAACTTTTCGGCTTTTTTGAACAAATACAAATAGGCCTAAATGTTTTGGACAAGCCTAACGGTAGTTTCGGGGCCAAAGAATGTTCAGGGGTTCAATGGAGGGGAACCCACAGGGCCTGGGCGGACGTGACCTCTCAGTCTCTATTCTCACGATTGTTCATCTCGCCATGTTTTGTCATCTTCATGCGGTTGATTTGTCGCTTTAATTTTTGAATGTCTTTTCATTGTCACAACCATGTCAGCAACTTATGGATTTTTTTTTAAGGACAAGTTGGATGACAATTCCTGTTTTGCTGTTTATTTTTTTGTAAAGCCAGGATGTATTTATCTATGGTGTTGTAATGCAAATATTTTTTGTTCTCTGATGATGATACTAAGTTGTTTTTACTCTGTTGTACCTAATATGAGTAGGGGGTGTGGGTCATATTTGGTAAACTAGGTAATTCAACTGTCAATCGAATATACTACCTGCTAAAGATGGTCTATAGATATTGAACATCATTGATCATAAACTTTTTGACCGCCTGCTAAGCTCAGTTCAATTGTGAACAATTCTTGAATGTTATTGTTGAATTACATTAACTATGATCCAACATAAAAACATTTTGCATTTACAGTAAACGTATTCCTACCATTTTTTGGAAAGACCCACTTGGTATCTTTCAGATATTACTATCTAGTTTTATTTCACTAAAAATCACTGGAAATGTACAAATTCATATCTTACAGGCTGAATTTCCTCTCTTTTTATTTTGGCTATCTAATATTAGCCCTCACGATAACAACACTTAAAACCAGAAAATGTAACTGTATATTTTACAAGCCATTAAATTTTCATCAAGATTTTCTGTTAAGTAATCAAGAATCAAACTAAGTATCAATAACTTTCTCAAGTAACATTTATGCGTAAAGAATATGCCACTATTTCTAGCTGCTTAAAAAAAGTAGATGTGGCCTATTTATTGCCAAAAACTTAGATTTAAATCCAGGGAAAGGTCTATCTTAATATTGTTGTTAAATATTCTAATGTTCTTCTAAAAAAGCTAACCTAAAGCAAATCTAAAGCAAACTTGCAGTGCTTGCTAGGAATATGTCTCTTTTGGTTAGCCGTAGCTAAGCTAAAGCCAGAAAGCTCTGTATTTAAGCCCTGAATTTAGGTTTTTATGTTTTAAATTTTTTCTCTTTTGGGGAATATTCTAAACTATCTAAGCATGACATTAAATGTTAATAAATCTCTAAAGTAAAAGGAATGCTTACAAGTTAGCATTAGCAGTAGCTAAACTAAGTTAGCAGGCAGCTAAAAGTAATGTTCAGATCTAAACAAGATTATTGACCAAACTTTCCTTTATAATTACAAAATGTGATTATGTAAATCGACCAAAAGCTGTTTCAATATTCTTAAAGACACTAAGTCAATGATTATTCTGCAATAATTTATAATTTTTTTTATGTATAATCAAATAGTCGTGGTAGCCTTGAATGGATTTGTGTTTCTCTTCATTTTTTCTTGTAATTGCTTGTATTTTAGTGAGATTGTTTATCAAATTGAAAACAAAAAAAAGAACAAGAAGAAATCATGTTTTTAGGACAGTTTGCTAGTACCAGACAGTGCAGCTTCTGCTGTATCTGTAAAGTGTAATGGGACAGAATACCATAGAGGCTAATGTGGCTTTTATACAGCAATTTTAAGTGCATGTGTATGATCGAAATATTTGCTTTAATGATAATTACTAACTAGCTGTCTCTAGCACAGCTGAGTGTGCATTACAAAATTGATTTTGTTGTATATTTTAGAACTGATTGCAAAGCAGGTCTATTAAGTTGTAAGTTATGGCAGTGTGAGTTCAAGAACATCAATAGTAATGTGTTACTCAGTGTTTAAAAACTGTATTTACATTTGTGTATATGCCTGAGTATGCGACGTTGAAACAAACTGCAACTAATGCAATAATAGGGTGCAATGTGCAATTATTTAAACAGTTATTTACTTATTAGCTTGGTAGTTACATGAAAAGTTGTGTAGCCTGTTGAAAATGTTTTTATTTGATCAATGTTCAGAATGGCAGCAACCGCTGGAAAAAAGGAATGGTCACAGTTTTTCATTAGTTTTGTTTATGTGTATTGCAGTTATTTTTGGAGGGGGTTATGGAACTTTGTAACTATTTTCAGTTGATTTATTTACTATGTGCAGATCTATATTAGTTGTAAGTAATTACATAGGTTTTATTTTAAAGTGTTGGTAAATATACAAAACAAATAAAGTTTCTTTTTTTTCCTTCCATGAATTGATTTTCTGTTATTCTTTTTACTATAAATGATAAATGAAATAATGGCAAGCTAAAGAAAAGTTATTAACAAGCTTTGTATATGTCATGATTTTATTCAAAGATCTGACCCACATGCAGGAAACCAAACAGAGAGATCAAGGGAAGGTTTAACAGGTTTATTGAGAAATGGTAGAGATGGGTCCAGTGCTGCTCTGAACACAGGCGAACCGGGACTGAAAAGTGAAGGGGAAGTTCCTGTGATTAGTTCAGGCTCAGTGGGAAATTTGAGCATCGATTTGCAAAAGGGAATAAAGGCAACGGGACTCACATTTCCAGGAAAAGGTGTCTTTCTCTGAATCCAGTCGGTGTGGGTTGTTCCAGTAATTGAGTTGCTCGTTGGAGGGCGGACAGGGTTTACCCAGGTTGAGGTGTTTCCTTGAGGAACGGAGGAGCTGACTGCCACTTAGATTTCCAATGGTACTTGAACTGTTTCTTGTGGAGACGAATCCCCTGCTCAGAGTGTAGCTCAAAAAAATCCCTGGGGGAAAAGTTGATCCAAACCTCCAGTTTGAATGCCCAGCTCAGTTTGAAACTCAGATGATCCTTCCAGGGGGAGAAGGTCCAAAACATCCAGTTTCCAGGATGACTTCCTGCCGAGAGGCAAAGACAAAAACAACAATGTTAAGACTCAGGTTGACAAAAACTCAGTTTGACTCAGCAAAACTCAGCTTGGCTAGACTACCCAAAACTGGCAAACACTCTGGCGTCGAGGTAGTGGCATCAGCTTAAGAGTCCTCCGGTAATGAGGCAACCATCCGCAGGTGTGTGAGAAGGCCAACGAGAACCAGGCGCCACCCGGTGGTGGAGGGAAAACAAACAAAAACACAACCAACACAAACTGGATTCCTAACAGTATATTTTTAGTAAAATCACAAAAAAAATGCATTAAGTTCAATGACATACAAAAATGTTGTTAGATTTTATTTATTTAATTGTTATTCTTGGCAAAAAAGGACTCATTGGAAAAAAAACACCTGACATAATGTGGTTATTATCCTCAAATTTTAACGATTTATTTAACATAATTTGAGACACGACAGAGTATTGTGGCTATCAGTTAGCAATATTAGACACTATCAGTGTCTCACAATCCATCAGAATTAATTAGGAAAAATACATTTTTTGTGTATTTCTTTGGATTAAAAGTGATCATTATATGATAACTGCATAATAAGGCATTGTAAGAACATGTGTAACTCAATCACCGGGAGTTAGCATTATTTATTTATTTTTATTTTTTTTATACAGTGTCCTGTCTGGCAATGTGGCAATAAGAATAATTGTCTTGATGCCAAAAAGAGCCCAACAGATTTTACTTTCACAAGTGTAGCAGTATGGCAACTGCCATACTGCTCCACTTGTCTCATGCATATAAATTGCTTTATTACAATTATGCAGGGAGTTTTACAGTTTATATGGACACTGCAATGTAAATAGAGCAGAAAAACAGAAGAAGAAAAAGGAAACAAGAAAAAAAAGGGGAAAGATGAAAGAAAGTTAGCATTATTCTTAATATTGCCATGGGGCAATGGCAGCGAGCCAAAGGGGCGGCTGGTCACGCCTAAGTTGGATCCGTATAAGGACCCAGGGGTCCAAGGCCCGGTCCAACTATATTTAGATACTCACAGCCGATGTGGTGAGGACAGCTTGAGGTTAAAAGCAACCATCAAAAATTGGGATTGTTATGAACAAAATTTACAGCTGGATATGTACCGAATATAATATACAGGTGGATATTACTATAAAAAGGGTTTTTACAGTTATGTACAATAGCATATATATAGATGGGTTTTACTATAAAATGAATAAAAAAAGTTTGGACAGAAGCTATCTAAATTAAAATGCAGTGGAAGGTAATTGCATATTACAGTTAAAGTATGTTATTGCAAATGTATATGTAAACTCTTTTTTATTGTTAGCAATGCTAACTTTACTCATTGTAGAAATTTCAATAAAAAAGAATAAAGATTTTTTGGTATTATATATTTTAGTATTTCCTTGATTTCTAAGGCAGATTACCATGAACTCATTTTGAACTGTTCTGCTGACATAAGGTATTTTAGATTCTTTTATTAACGGAAAAATAGTCTTTTTCACATTTAAATTATTGGGTTAACCCAGGTTTTACAAACACGGGTCGACTGACTAACAATCGGCATGTGGCTCCCTTCCCTTTGAAAAAAAAGGCCTGGATCTAACCCCTTGCTGGCAAGATAAGTGGCCTCTGAGCACCCATTGATGATGTCATCAGTGCGACAGAAATCTGGAAAGTAAAAACATGTAAGGAAGCCAGCGTGAAGCACAGGGGCTGAATTGTTTTTATCTTTTATCTGTTACAATTCCTCTTACCAGTGTTGCACCATGTTTATCGAATGTAAACAGTGTTGTTTCAACTTGTCATCGTCTGTTGACGTCCGTACGTTGCGCTCAATGGTATCACATAAATTAGCGGGTCGACCTGGGTTGTGTGTTCCCACAGCATGCGGATCAAGTGAGGCGATTTAAACTGGTTTTCGGGCAGAAGGGGTACACATTAGCAGCCATTCAAAATGGCCCTTCCCAGTCAAACCCCAGCCGAATGGCAGCCCGCTTCCCTGCAACTCCCAGCAATATCCCCTCCAAAATCCAGCCACTGGAGTGACCCCCTCCTTCTCCTGGGCATGCATATTTTTTCACACTTTCCACCCTTTCACTGAATTACAGGGCCTGACCTTGAGAAGGCCCCTCTCTTTAGATCTTAATGTCCACAAATCATGACAGAAAGAATATTTTAGTACAAAGTTTGATGTTTAAAAAGCAATTGTACGGGACCATAAAGGAAATTGGGGAAATTTTGAATGGCTTCGACTGTAAGTGAGGAAAATGCCACTAAATGTTTTTAATAAATTAATATTCTCAGGGGGGAGGGCTAAAGTGATTTGTTTGAGTTGATTGCTGGTTCTTTATAATAAGAAACCCAGGATAATCAGTTATCTGAAGGGCCTGCTAAACATGACAAAAAGAGCCTTCATGAAGGTGGGCAAGAAATTATTGAGCTCATCAGTGTAGCCGAGAAACATATGTTGTTGAGAGATAAAACATTTATCTTTTACTGATTCACTAAGGAAGTATGCAACATCTGACAACATGGGAGTCCAATTTCTTTAAAAGCTAGAGTACCCCAGAGGTAGGGACTCTTGGACTTTGGACAGTGTGTGTGTTGTAACCTGTAAGCCTAACTTAAGCACCAAATTTCTCTAACTTTTTCAAGAGTAGAAATCAATTTCTATTTTCATTGGATTCTTATATAATTTTAATGTGTCATGTTCATCAGAGATCAAATTAAATATGGTGTAAAGACAGTTGAAAGATGAATTACTTTGTAGATCTTATTATTTTTGAGGTAAGTGTGTTTCTTTTGTTTAACAGATTTCAGTTTTTATTTGTAACTTTTTAAAATATAAATTGATATTTTAAAACCAGAACTGTGTTAATTCTGTTTCTTTTTTGTTTCAAAGTGGTGATGAATGGGGCGCCATGATATGGGCACTGCATTGCATAGGGCTTGATGTGGTATTAAAATAAAAAGACGGTAAGGCCCTTAATGGTAATAAGCTTTTAGACAAACTCCGTAAATTGAAGCATTTAAACAAAAAGATGCTAGGACATGTAGATTCCCTAAGAACTCTGTTGACAGAGGTAAACTTTTAGTGTTATGGATATAGTTGTTTTTGTTTGTTTTTTGAAATAAGAAGTTCTGATTTCATGGATTAATAATGAGTGTAAAGTCAGCCTGTTAATACAGTATTTGTATGCAAAATAGAGAGAGAATAATACCTCTTTAATATTCATGTTTTTCTTTCCGTTTATATTAAAATGCAATGATATGTATAGCATAGTGACCTTGTCTGAAAAGAATTAATTCAGCAGATTTTTGTTCCCACTTTATTCAAATGAATTAAATGACGTCTTCTCTGCAGTTTGGTTACCTAATGAATTTTGCCCACAAATTCTCCTCTGAGAAAAGACAAAACCCACTTTTTCTTTGTTAAAACACCAGGTAAGAGGTTCAGTAATATCACCCGCTGCTGCACTGGTAGTGATGTGTCACAAATCGAGGGCAATGTTTCTCATTTTCCCTGCAAACTAAAGTCAAGAGGGGAGCAAACGGTGTGAAGGAGACTGAAAAAAAAAAAACCTACAGCAGCTGTTAGAGGAGGGAGGTGAGATCTGAAACTCAAGTTTCTCAAGAGACAAAGATTCCTCAATAAGGATTATAGAATAGTAATCAGTAACAAACAGGTTTTATGACATTTTCTGTTGAAATAGAGCTCAGATGGTTCATCATATTTCAGTGTTTTTCAGTGGTTAAACACTGAAAAACTAGAAATCACATTTATCTCACAAATTAAATTAGGAATAAACGCACAAAAAATATTTTATATACACTCACCGGCCACTTCATTAGATACCCCATGCTAGTAACGGGTTGGACCCCCTTTTGCCTTCAGAACTGCCTCAATTCTTTGTGGCATAGATTCAACAAGGTGCTGGAAGCATTCCTCAGGGAGTTTGGTCCATATTGACATGATGGCATCACACAGTTGCCGCAGATTTGTCGGCTGCACATCCATGATGCGATTCTCCCGTTCCACCACATCCCAAAGATGCTCTATTGGATTGAGATCTGATGACTGTGGAGGCCATTTGAGTACAGTGAACTCATTGTCATGTTCAAGAAACCAGTCTGAGATGATTCCAGCTTTATGACATGGCGCATTATCCTGCTGAAAGTAGCCATCAGAAGTTGGGTACATTGTGGTCATAAAGGGATGGACATGGTCAGCAACAATACTCAGGTAGGCTGTGGCGTTGCAACGATGCTCAATTGGTACCAGGGGGCCCAAAGAGTGCCAAGAATATATTCCCCACACCATGACACCACCACCACCAGCCTGAACCGTTGATACAAGGCAGGATGGATCCATGCTTTCATGTTGCAGACGCCAAATTCTGACTCTACCATCCGAATGTCGCAGCAGAAATCGAGACTCATCAGACCAGGCAACGTTTTTCCAATCTTCTATTGTCCAATTTCGATGAGCTTGTGCAAATTGTAGCCTCAGTTTCCTGTTCTTAGCTGAAAGGAGTGGCACCCGGTGTGGTCTTCTGCTGCTGTAGCCCATCTGCCTCAAAGTTCGACGTACTGTACGTTCAGAGATGCTCTTCTGCCCACCTTGGTTGTAACGGGTGGTTATTTTAGTCACTGTTGCCCTTCTATCAGCTCGAACCGGTCTGGCCATTCTCCTCTGACCTCTGGCATCAACAAGGCATTTCCGCCCACAGAACTGCTGTTCACTGGATGTTTTTTCTTTTTTGGACCATTCTCTGTAAACCCTAGAGATGGTTGTGCGTGAAAATCCCAGTAGATCAACAGTTTCTGAAATACTCAGACCAGCCCTTCTGGCACCAACAATCATGCCACGTTCAAAGTCACTCAAATCACCTTTCTTCCCCATACTGATGCTCGGTTTGAACTGCAGGAGATTGTCTTGACCATGTCTACATGCCTAAATGCACTGAGTTGCCGCCATGTGATTGGCTGCTTAGAAATTAAGTGTTAACGAGCAGTTGGACAGGTGTACCTAATAAAGTGGCCGGTGAGTATAAAAACTATTTTATAAATATAACAGCACAAACAAATATTCACAATTAAAACCTATTCTTAAAAGCATAAATAGAATTAACTACTAATATAAATTGTATTTTTTTCAAATCAAGTGTTTAAAAAAAATGCATAGTTATATAATATATTTAATATATTTCATATATTTACAATATATATTTTCTCTTTTATTTTACCCTGTCCAGCACTTTCCAATTGTCTTGCTTTACTTTGGTGTAGTGCTGCGCATCCAGAGGTCATTATGTCCACTTTGCAAAGGGGGTTGGTCAAAGCGATGAGATGTTTGGTGTCCTCGCTCTTGGGCCAAAGCAGAGTGAGCAAAACCCCAATGTCAGTTGAGCTCTGCAGCAGCCGTGCTTTAAGAGACTCCGAAAGAGGTCAATATTCACTGTAGGGGAGCTGCTCTCACAAAGTGATTACAGAAAGTCAGCACAGAGGATAAAAGGAAAGTAGCCTCTCTGTCCAAAGCAAATAATACTATTCGTTGCTCATATGGCAAATAAATCTCATGTGTTACCTCGTTTTCCCGAGGGTAATTTGCTAAAAAAAGACTGGATTGGCTTCGCTCCATATCCTTGTGATCTGGAGGATGGTTGGGGGGGGGAGAACATGATGCTGAATCTTAGCCAGGAGCCTGACAAGTTAAACTAATCTATTTGCCTGTTTCATGAAGAGAGCTGCAGGTGTTTGGCCACTAGAATGCCTTTTAGTGTCATTATGAACACAATCAGGGTAAACCAGCTTTTTGGTCGATATAATCAATGACTCTGTTAATCATAGCGATGCTTTGCAAGGCGCTGGCTGCTTTCAAGTGGTCACCACCAGGTATACCTTCGAAGGTCTTTTGTAACAAGGTATCGAAGTCTGTCCGTCAGAGCAGGACAGCCGTAATAAACGTTTATGAAGAGTGACAGAGGCAGGGAGAACAATCAGTCATGGACGGGAGCGCGAGGACAACAGGACAGCTATAGATTCACTCTAACAGGCTGAGTAAAGCAAACCAGCCACTCTGATATGCATAATACCTTCCAATCTCACAAAGTGCTCATTGTGCGGTTATTCTTTATGTCCGCCATGTGCTTTAAATAAAGCTGGTGGCTGGGAGAGAAAAGCAGCATAGAGTTAAATGTGCAAATGTAGCAAGTATTATGTTTCAAGGGACTTTCCATACGACAAAACAGCATTAAATCTAAAGGTTAAAATTATCAAAAACAGTGAACAAAGCCAGTGGTGTAGACAAAGATACATTTCAGTCACTCCTTTCACAATAAAGCAACAGCCTAACTTTTGACCCTAAAGTTAGATTATTTGGTGATACATTATTTTATGTTTTTAGGTGTGTATTGTTGCTCTGCGCAGACTGTTTTCACAAATACTCACCTATGTAACACTTGACACGATAAAAAATATAACTCTTGTCATATTAGCCTTGCTGTGCTTACTTATTAGGGTCCAGTCCAGTAGGACCTAATTGTGTCATCAGCCCGGCATTCCACCTGTGAAAAAAATGGTGACCTTAATGGATGAAAAACATAAGAAAAGATATATTTTTTAAAGTTATTATGAGCTTTTCTGTATCACAAATGATAATGTGTAAGTTAATAGAAAAACAACAAAATATTTATGCCTTCATATTCAAGGTCTGAGGCCTAGTCAGTATCACCAATTGCCTCACACAGTGCAACACATCTCTTTCGCATAGAGTTGATCAGGTTTTCAATTGTGGCCTGTGGAATGTTGGTCCACTCCTCTTCAATGGCTGTTCGAATTTGTTGGATTTTGGCAGGAACGTTGATCCAGAGCATCCAAAACAAGCACAACGAGGGTCATATCCGGTGAGTGTGCCAGCCATGCAAGAACTGGGATGTTTTCATCTGCCAAGAATTTTGTACAGATGCTTGCAACATTATCCTGCTGCAACATGAGGAGATGTTCTTGGATGTATGGCACAACAATGGGCCGCAGGATCTCATCAAAGTATCTCTGTGCATTCAAAATCAATCAATAAAATGCACCTGTGTTCTTTGTCCATAACAGACACATGTCTTTGGTTTCAGTGATATTTGATGTAGGAATTGCTTGCAGTTCTGCATTTACGTCTCCTAGGAGACTTTCAGAAAATCACTGTCAGGAGGGGACTATGAACACATTCCAGCTCTGTGAAAATGCATAGGAAAAAAATCAATGCATGGATTAAACAACGTTTTCTTAAGCTAAATCAAAAGAAAATTGAAATAACAGTTTTAAAATTTAACACTCATGTTAGGTATATGTATCTTGAAAGCACCAATCAGGGTGTTGAGATGGACCTGGACCTCCAGTGGCACATAAAGACATTCTGTCCTTTAGAGAACATATGCAGGATTAAAAGACTCAACAGGACGCTGATAAACTAATTCCTATTCTGTTTGTCTTTAGTAGGATTGATAGAGACAGCTGTGAAGTGGATCAGACAGCCAAAGCTGATCCAGAATGCTGGATCACCGATCAGGCTTCCAACGAGAAAGTGGAGAAACAGCTTTTAGCTCTTATGCTCCAAAACAAAAAGTGCTGAAACCATAAATTGCTTAAAATTTTAATAAAAAAAGCAATTTATTTTGGTGTGGCTATTGACTGTGGTACCTAAACATTATTCATACAACTTTATTCCATTATCATATCTTCTTTTTTAATTAATCTACTTTTTTTTTCTTTCTTAACTTTCTGACTACCAAAATGTGCTATATTAATGGACTTGCCTTACCTTAACTTGCCTTGTCTTACCTTCCCCGGCTTATATTATCAATGACATTTTGAGTTTAAAGAGCTTTTAGGGGTAAGCCGGAGCACCCGGAGGTCAAAAGGGTTAAGAAGACGTTGAGGGGTGCCCTCTGAAGTCCTAGGTACCAGAAGCACTGCCTGCCACTGTGGACAATATCACGAAAAACACACATTCAGTGGTTTAACCTTAATGATCAATTGTTTCAGTTCTTTAATGGGTATAACCTCACCAAAAAAATGTGGTCAAATTGACAAAAGTGGAAAGTAATGTATTAAAAGGGTCTTTTTACTCACCAGGATGTTTTTTTTTTCTTACAAATAAAGCATCCATAATCAAATTACAGCTATAGAAAGGCAGAGTTTGGATCCATCTGAGTGCAAACACACACACACACCCACACACAAACGCTTCTATTATGCACCCACCCAGAGACGCACCACTGCTGCAAAGCTGCTGCCCGACAGGAGGTCAAACAGCTGGATGCTGCCTCCCAGAGAGGCTACAGCTCCGCAGGAGGACAGTGTCCGGTGGAGAGCTGACAGAGGAGCCAGCCTGTCCGGATACAAAAAACCCACACAGAGACCGGGAGCTTTCAGGTAGGCTCACGATTACTTTATATATGGGTGCTCTTTTGATTGAATAAAGGTTTTTTTTTAATGCTGCTATTCTATATTTAACCCAGACAGCCTAATTTTAATCATTTAAAAATCTGAAGTTTTTATACATTTAAACTGCTTTTTTTTAGTATTGTACTATTGTGTTGAATGAGTAAGAAAATTTTAAACAAAAACAAGAGAGAAAAATACATGAAGTGTTTAAAGGTTGAGCTCTTTTTTTCTGAAAAGCTTAAACCTAACAAATTACCTTTTAGGATTTAGCTGCAGTAAAAAAAATGCATAGCTTTTTTTCAATGAAGCACTTTAATTGCATTTTTTTGTTTTAGAATAACTTTATTGAAATTTTAGCCTATATATTAACATCTGGCTGGATAGTTACACACTTGCTACTTGCATTTTTTAAAGTTATATTTTTAAGTAATGTTCTGTTTTAAGCTCAATCCACTTCAGTTACACTTCTACCAGCTTTCTTGTTGCTGTACAAGAGAAGGATCTCTAGATTTTATGCTTTAACCACCATATTTCACTGAGGTTATGGTGTTTTTTCTTTTATATTAACTCATAAAAATGTTTATTAATTAGATGACTTTTGAAAGCAGCTACTTGCTGTGGATTTTATTTATGAATTTTTTTTCCTTGCAAGTTTAAGAATGATAATTAGACTTGTTTGAATGAGCATTCAAAGTGTAGCACTAGCAACATTAACATTTAGCTAATTGGGCTAGTGTTAGCAACCTTCCCATAATTGCATAAATTCAGGGCGAGGACGAAAACGCACTTTGTCTTGCTGGCTTTTTTCTCGTCCAAACAGCCCACACGAAAAAGTAAGACACTTCAGTACTTCAGCTTTCTAGCAGGTCTTAATGAAAGTTCCCACATTTTAAGATGAAAAGGTCACATTTTATGTGCAATTACTTCCTTTAAAAAGTATTCCAAGAGGAAACCACCGATTCCTAACTTTTTTATTTTGCATTAAGTTATGCATAAAGTGTAACTCACCCCAAAGTCAACTTTTTTTGTAGATGAATTTGGTATGTAAGATTTTATTTTGGTGTTACTTTGCATTTGTGTTTTTCCGCTTGCAGTGGTTAGGAGTGGCTACTGCAGTTTTTCCTATTGTTTTAAATTGCACATATTTGTACATACCTACATCGCTCATAAAACCAGCCCTTTTCACAGCCCTGCGTTAGTTAAAAATACAACCCAGCACCTTGAATACGGTTACCAGATGTCCCCGTTTTGGACCCTCTGTCTCTGTCCCTGAAACTGTCACTGCAAAAGAATAAATAATCCATTCTAAACATCAAATGATGTTTAGATTTAATTAGCAGTTTGGGAAGGGATTAAAGCAAAGACTTTCAAAACTTCCAGTTGGAACTCTTTTTTTTATGTGTGACGGAACAGGCAACAATATAGACATCAATAAACAAACAAAATAAACATCAGTAGACACAATGTTTAAATATCTCAAAAAATAGTAGTCATGGGGTCATTTATGTTAAAAAGTTTTAAATCAGAGTATAACCGATAACTTTAAATTGCCACAAGTTTTGAAATCAAAGAGTTTGAGGAAAAACAGAGCTGCTCAGTGGGTAGCACTGCTGCCTTGCAGCAAGAAGGTTGTGGGTTCGATTCTGCATGGAGTTTGCATGTTCTCCCTGAGCATGCATGGGATTTCTCGGGGTTCCTCTCACAGTCCAAAAACATGACAGTTTGGTTAATTGGCTTAAATTCTCCTTATGTGGGAGTGTTAAAAATGATCTTGGCTGAATAAGCTAACTTCTGTTGTTCACCTCTGGTATGCTTAGTAAAAATGCTGGTCCCCTGCCATAGTGTGCCTCTCTTGTCCTGATCACACACAAGTTAAACCACCACAGCTCACCCAAAACTTAACCCGTGAAGTGTTCTTCTTACAGTTTTATATTTTTTTATCTACTGTTAAACTATGACATGCACCCTACTATAGTATTGCCTACACCAAAAACCAGTGTTGGGAAAGTTCTCTTTCTACGTGAACTAGTTCAAAGTTCAGTTCACACATTTTAAAATGAACTAGTTCAGTTCATAGTTCACAATTCCAAAAAACGAACTAGTTCATAGTTCTTTTTTTTTTTTTTTTTTTCATATATTGCTCAATTACACCATGGCCTACTGTAGAACCACAGACGGCAATTATTTTATCAGTTGTAACACTGAAACTGTGCGTCAGATTTCATCTTCATATCCAGTTTTGAATCCTTATCCGACCAGGGTTTACATTAGCATTGAGGGGACAGCATTTCCATTCACTTCACACTAGTAGCAGCTGCAACTTTCACCCCTACAGTATATTCTCAAAAACATCAGAAAAATGTGCTGCTTGAATGGTCTTTTTTATGAGTAATTATTAAAAGAAAAATAGGAAAGTAGTCTTTAAGGTGCAAATGTTTTTTTTTTATTTTAATAATTTTTTCCATTTGAAATTCCATTTCAATACATACTAAAAAGGAATCCTGGAAAATTATACCAGGCAGGTTTAACAAACAAGTTACATGGATAGTAAAACCCTCAAGAACAGGGGTCTTCTATGTTTTCCAGACCAAGGACCCCCAAACTGATGGCGAGATGGAGCGGGGACCCCCTAACTATATATATTGTATGAAATTGTGTCCTATAGTCACTCTATTACAGATGGAGTAATGTAAAGAAATTAATTTCTCCCTGGGATTATTAAAGTTTTTCTGATTCTGATTCTTGGTTGTTGTGAAGGAAACGGTGCCCAGCTTGAAAGAGCTCGTGTGTGTCGCTGAATGTGTGCATTGATGACTGAAAGACATCTTCTGCCTCCATTTATCTGTTTACTACAGTGTGTTGATTTCATGTTAATGATTATTTAAAGACATTTCAATTAGTGGGGGAAAAAAAATGCAGGGGGGGAATATAAAAATATCAACTAACCATGCAGACCCTCATGCAGTACCTCCGTAGACCCTCTAGGGGTCGCGGATCCCCTGTTGAAGACCTCCGCTCAAGAAGATTTTACTAACACAAACTGAGGGACCAGGCTGAGGTAGGAATTTAAGGTTACTGAAGTGCGGATTTTTTTACTGAAAGCCGGCGGGCAAACTTGTTGCCATCATCCTCACCGACCACCTGGTCATAAAACTGTTTTAAGTCGCCTCCATGCTGCTGTTGCTTCCACGCTGCATTTTGTTTTGATGACGCACGCGGCTGTAGGCTACGACGCTGGTAGCTGGTGTTGCCAGATTGGGTGTTTTTCCAGCTACATACAGTATTAAGGCCTGTTTACGGTGTGATTTAGCCGGGGTTTCGCCTGGAGGGCTTTATAGAAACCTGGCAACCTATTGAACGGAGTTGAACTGAGAGAGCGTGCCGTTCACAGACACCAGAATGAACGAGTTCACAATAATGTTCATCAGGCAGTAATGCAGTACGTTCAGTTCATGTTCGCCCAAAATATGAACGAGTTCATGAACTTTCGTTCAATGAACGCGTTCAGGCACAACACTGCCAAAAACAGTCACTGCCGAAAGGGGTGTGAATACTTTTTTTAAGCGGTGTTTGTTTTTCAATCAGCTGAAAGGAGAGCACACCCACTTCATTTATATTCTTGTCACTCTTGTCATAAAATCGTTTAGTTTTCCATCCAACCCACTCCATGCGTTCACAAATGAAGCGCGTTCTGTGGTGATTTCATTCGCTCTCTGACCTTCATTGGTTCACAAATGTCCTCGTTAATCTCACAGATTACTCACAGCTTTTTATTCCAACACAAATCACTGTTTTCAAAGTTCATCAGCTGCATATTGATGAGCCCCCACCTTATTTAATGGGATGTCATTTCTTTCCCTCGACGAAATTGGAGTCCAAGGGCCATGTCACCGGAGACATGGCATTATTATGATAATGCGGAACTTTATTGGCCTACTCTCCCTCTGAGGAGAGACAATATGGCTGGAATTTCTCCTGACAAGAAAAATTAATCACAATTTATATATCTTTCATTTTCAGGTTTCTTCCAGTGGGTGGAGAAGATGCGCCCTCCAACCTTAAATTTCCAATCATGGCTCATCCTAAGAATATAATTATCAAATATTTTCATGTCTCCTTTTTGGGGAAGTCGTTGGCCAAGCTGCTATTTTACTTCTCATTTAGAGAGCAGTCAAACATCTGGGTTTGTATCCTCTTCTAAGCTGGATGAGGGTTTGGTAAACGATGAGAAAGAATGTCGGGGTGAAAGTCGAAAGGACTCTTTGGATCTTTGACACAACAGCTAATGGGGGCTTCCAAAAGGTCCATCATACAACATCGTTCAGGCAGTTATTTTTTCTTTACTGGAACTTTACTGCTGCTTTCTTTTGTTGGGGTAATGGCTTGCCCGCATGTCTGCCATTGCTCGGAGAGGAACGGCAAGGTGGTGCAGTGCACCTCACGCAACCTGGAGATCATCCCAGCCAACTTACCCAAGGACACAGTTGTTCTCCTGCTGTCGTCAAACCGAATCAGGCATGTCCATAAGGAGGCCTTCGCAGACCTCAAGCATCTCAGGGAGCTTGATTTATCCCACAACTCACTTGAGAGCGTGGAAGTCGGCTCCTTCCAAGGAGTTTTGGACAGCCTGCGTACCTTGGATCTTTCAAACAACCGACTCAGCAGTCTCCCAAGAGAGACCTTTACCAAGTTGCACGCCCGGATTCGCCTGTCCAACAACCCATGGAACTGTGATTGCTCCCTCCAGGAAGTTTTAAGGGAACTGAAGTTGGATCCAGAGACGGTCAACGAGGTCAGCTGCCAAACATCCGTGCAGGAGGAGTACGTGGGGCAGCCAGTGATCCAAGTCTTGGACTCGGGGATCAACTTTTGTAACTTCCACCACAAAACGACAGACATGGCCATGTTCATAGCAATGTTCTGCTGGTTCTTCATGGTAACGGCTTACATTGTTTACTATATCAAACACAACCAAGAGGACGCCAGGAGACACATGGAGTACCTAAAGTCTTTGCCCAGTACCTCCCATATCAGCAAGGACTACGACACAGCCAGCAGTGTGTTTTAGTGTCACAGACAATGAGGAAATCTAAGGACAGACATTTGCAGAGTTTGGAAAAAGCATTTCCACCATTTTAGATTTTTATTTTGTCCCACACATTTAGATCAAACTTCCAAAAATGTTACAAAATTTAAAAAACAAACCACTGGACTTTGTTTTCCAAGTTTGAAGACGATTTGCTTCCCATCAGGAAGCTTTTTCAATTCAATATGTCTGGATAAGGGCTGAGTTCCAAGCTTTATAGAGTATCCCAACAAAGCATTATTATTTAGATCAAACTTTTTTTGCAATAAGTACATATTGATTAGGTAGTTTTAATGAGGTAGAATAAAAGATGACATAAAGAAACTTCCTGGATCTAAGCTTACAAACAATATAGGAACAAATTAGAGAAAAAAAGCCATTTACATTTATCAGACTGAAAAGGGTTAAGGGTAAGCCACTTCTAAGTAGAACACAGTAAACCTTAATAGGACAGCCCGCCTACCAAAACGAATGCAAGAGGGCATTGATTGACTTAAAAAACACAAACACTACACCTGAATCACTCCAGACCTCAGCTATCATCAGTGTTCTTGATTGAAAACAAGAATAATACCGGAGAAACATGAGATCTGTTGGACTTCAATGGCCAAAACCTAAGCTTGATAAAAACAATACAAGAGGTCTATCTCACTTTTGCTAAAAAAAAAACATCTGGATGAGCTACAGATCTTTTGGGAAAACCTTCTCTGAACCAACAAGGAAAATGTCGAACTTTTGGATACTGTATGACCCACAACATCTGGCATTAAATATTCAATAATGCAGAAAAAAACAAAAACATCAGACATGGTGGTAATCTGATAGCCTGGAGCTACTGTGCTATTTTAGGATTGGGCTACTTGCTTTAATTAATTTAGAACCACGAGTTCGCCTATAGGTGGTTGTTTGGCCATTAATTTATTAACTTGTGTTAAATTAGTTGGGTTTTCCATTAATTTACCAGTCCAACACTTAGAGACACAGGACAAACAACAACAAACACACACTCTCTTACAAAAGGCAACTAAAAGAGAGTAATTAACGTAACGTGAAAATTTCAGATCCTGAAATGAACTAAGGATACCAAGAGACAACTCATACATTTATACATGTAGAACTGCCAAACCCAAGATCTTTTGGCTGCAAGGCAACTGTGCCACCCTAAACCAAAACTGGGTATGCTAGTAAACAGCATGCTCTCCAATCCAAACAAATCCGGAAAGAAGGTGGAAGAATCTGATCTATTGGACATGCACTTTTTAATAACAGGGCCATTGGTTTTGATAGAAATTTTACCTTAAAAATACCGTAAATCCTCTAATACAGGACGGGCCCTTTATTTCACTCAGGTACATCTTGATCCAGGCCATTATTGGAAGGAGGCCAGAATTAGAGGCAGGCCTCTATTTCTATTTGATCAAAACAGACTACCAGTGAAATGAAAAAAAAAACAAGATTTTGTGTCTCTTTGAACCTATAAAATGCTAGGTTTATTTTTTGAAAAAGTACAGTTACAATAACGGTATACAGAACGTTATTCAGACATCTTCCAGCAGCTGCAATTTTTCTGCACGGCAATACGAAAGGAAAAAAAGACACAGAATGGAATCTTGGCCAAACTGACTTGCGAAACAAAGTTGAAAAAAAATAAAATAATGGAAACTGCCATCACAGCGACATTTTATTTGACGTAGGCTAAGTGGAAGTAGGCTACCAGTATCATATATTTCAAGGGTAATTCAGAACAACGAAGGCCAACAAGATTCTGTCATTTTAACACTGCCTGGTTACCACCAGACCTACCGGTAATCACGTGTCTTTCAGATCAGAACGATAGTGTAAGGCTACTACGATCTCTGTGTTAGGATGGGACTTCCCATGCTAATGGCTTGGATTCGTAAGCAAACATTGCCCCCCTGTGGTACGTGTATGTTACTATCACAAGTTGTTGAGGACTGCCCAGGAACATTGTTGGTTCTAATTATAGCCCCGGCCTGTATAAGAGTCCATTATTTACCTCCGCCGACATCGAGACCAGCCATTATTAGAGACCCGGCCGCTAATGGAATACAGGCCAATATTAGAGGATTAATGGTAATTATTTAGCCACTTTTTGTATTTTCTCAGGTATCCTTGATGTTAAAAAAGGAAGACATTTCTGAATGTTGTGCAAGGAAGAAACATCTAAGTCAGGTCATCCTACAGAATGTTAAAACAAAGGACCTGTTTGCCAAAAAAAGATTAAAATATTCCTCTGGTAAGCCAAACATAGATATTGTAAAGAGTTTGGTCATTGAATAAACTCTGAGGATCTGTTGATAGAGGTTATCAAAGGGCACCATATCCCCATGACACGTTACATTTAAGGTGGAACTCTCCCTTTCAATTTATATCTTACACTTAAATGTCAATTTTTCGCTTTAGAGGTAGAGACTTAAGTCACTTTTTGAAATAAAAAACATTAAATTCTACTGTTTCATCAAAAGGCTTGGTTTGTTGACTCTGATATTTATATTTTTCATGTCAAACCAAAAAAAAAAAAGCGCATTTTTGACCCAAGTTAGACGTTTACATCTATTCATAATGATAATCAATATCGCTGTGTTATTATTTGGAATTTATTAATTTATATTTGCTGTTTTCCCCACCTGGGGTTGGAAACAATAAAAAAGAAACATATTTTTTTATTTGAAAAACAAGAACCGGGTGCAGGCGTTGGAATCTGTGGTGTTATGCTAACCCACACAGGTCAAAGTTATACATACAATTATACAAACATGTTCATATACCTCCTACTGATATTTAGTGAAAATCCCTTAGCAAGCGGCACCATGACCTTCCAAAGCAATAATTACTTATCTGAATGATTCAGGCTAATTATTTCTATAATGTCCTAGTAGAATTAATAGAGTTCAAATAATTATCGCTTCTTGAGGCACAAACATGGATTTTAACATAATCCAAACATCTTTGAAAAACATAAGGTTGGAGCCATTTCGAAAGTTTCATGTTAGGCAATTTTTTCCATTCCAAAAATAATTTAGATGTATATTTCTTTTCCTTGTGCCGTTGGAAAATCAGATTTCAACCCACCTAGCTCCTGATGGAAGGCATATTGAAAGAGTTGTCTCCATGCCTCTCATTGAAAGAAATACGCCAGAGCAACAGGAGGAAAAACAGCTCCACAGCATAATGGTGATGCTGCCACTATCATGCTTAATGGTATAGCTCCAAAAAAGCATTCACATTGAACCTGAACAACTTGAATGCAGTGAGAGATTTACATTTTTCCATCACAATCAGGAGCAACTCAATGGTTGGTGGTGCAAAGGATGCTTTTCAAATAATAGAAATGGAGCAGATTGGACAAAGAGAGGAGGAAAAGCCTCCAATAGCACAGGAGACACACAAGTAGAATGTTTTATGCTTTGTTTTTTTCTAAATGTCTTAGCCATTAAAGCCCTTTGTGTATATTTATAGTAAAAAAGGAGTTGCGATACTGCACGCTAGCAGGGGGTAAAAAAGGAAGAAGACTGCGATTAAGCCAGTTAGCACCTTGCAAGATCCAGTGTGCAAAAAAAAAAAAAAAAATGCAAAAACTTTGGTTCCAAGGGGAAAAAGACTGGAACAGAACTGGTAGTATAATATGAACTGGTTTTCACTGAAGTGGAGGCTAAAGCTCCCAAGGTTTACGGATGTGGCTGCGAAGTTGATGGATGCATGAATAAACGTTCTTTTTAATTCTGCTAATATAGCAATGCTGTGCGGCGTAAGAACAAACAACAGTATAAATAGATTCCATACTTTCTGGACCATAGGCCACTACCTTTTCCACGGCTTAAAGGAAAGTGCAGCTTTTTTGTTGATTTTTCCATACCACCGGGGCGCAGAAGTCAAAGTTGGAAATTAAAGAAGGGGCTAAATGTCATTTCACACAAGCACATGCTAGTAGCAGGCATGAGAGAGAATATACAGTATGTCCAGAATTCACACATTTTGACACTTATTTTGTGCATTAACGCTGTCGAACCAATAAAGAGACTGCATGTGACAAATCCTGCAGAGCTGAAATAAAGAGCTGGCATCTTTCAGTAGAAGCTCTTACTGCAGTGAGCCTGTCGCTACCCGATCCGTCCACAAAGCGTGATCCAACCATCAGCTCATTTGTGCATGTGCAACTAGATATACATCTGGGTTGCCCTCAATTTTAGTTTGTAAAGACCAAAATTACAAAATTGTAAGCATAGTTAGATATAAAGTGTTAAACACTAATAATGTATTTCCTAAGAAAATATATGCCTTAAAATCCTTTCTGTCTTATCATTCATCTGTGCTCGATCTCCACCAGGATCCAACGCTACACCAATCAAGTCTTTTTGAATTTTATGTGTTCCTTTTGTGCTAACATTAAGGTATATAGTGAGCAATCAAAAGAAAGAAACAACTAAAATGCAGATAAACATGGTTTAATCATATTTTGCCAGTGTTGTGAATAACTGTTATATTCAATGTCCAGCCAGCTGGGACGGCATATTATGTTCTGATACCTTAAGAGGTTTATTGCCCTCCCTGGTTTTTAACCAGATGTCATTTGGACTGTCATTATTGTTTATGAACACGCACCCTACTAGCTGTGTGTTAGAACAATAAAGGAAAGAGTGTTTCGAGCACTAATCATGGTCAAACAGTTAATTCTGCACATACATGGAATAAATTCACCACGTCTGTTCAAAATATAAGAGTTTATTAACAAAAATCATTGAGCTCCATGTCAAACATATTTCAGTTTAAAACTCTTGACTAAAACTAGTGAAACTCAACTAAACTAAACTACTATGTACAAAGAGGAAGGGGAACATGGTTGAAAACCATATTACTGTCATGATTTATCAGGATTTCTAGCCCAAGATGCAGAACTCACAGAACAGAGGCAGGATTAAAGTCCAATAATTTATTGGAGAACTCAGGTTTTCCCCCTGGGAGGCAGAGAGGACAGAAACAGGTTATGCTCAAATACAGGTTTACAGGTTTCCAAACTCACAGGTTGCAGATTCAGACAGGCAGGGTTAAACAGGCAGGGAGGCTCTGGTTTGCTTCCATGGCAAGGACAGTACAAAGACAACGGCAAGGCATGGCAAGGCATGGCAAGGCATGGCATGGCATGGCATGGCATGGCATGGCAGAGCATGGCAACGATCCGGCTCAGAGAG